GATCCTCACCATGAGGAGAACCACTGATGACCAATCTGCAGCTTCTGGTCCAAACCACTGACATGCATCATGTAGAGCTTAGAACAAAACATCCGGTCTCATGGTTCAAAGGCTTGTTTCAGAATGAAGTTTTTAAAGGTATTTATAAGTACTGGAGGCAGCTTTGCTTCTCTTCTTGTCAGGAGTTGTGGCCAGTTGTAGCTCATAGACATTCTTTTATTTATGGGGTCTATTTTAGAGCAGGAGGTATCTCAGCATGAGGGAACCCAGCTGTGGTGCAGCTGTTCGGTGATTGGCTGAGCAGTTCTGGCCATACCAGAATATGTATTCTGGATAAATAAAAGTAAAACAAGCTATCTAGACCAACATAACAGAAATTAAACCCAACCTGATTGCTACCAGACTTTTAGAATTAGGAAATCACTTCAACCAGACAATACAAAGTGGGCTAAACGATCTCAGAAAGTAACACGTCTAGGCCTACTTCTAAAGAAATTCAAGAACAAAAGAACCCAGAGCGACATCTTAAGGACAGCAGGCCTTGGTTCAGGTTAAGGTCAGAGGTCATGATTCAGCAAGAATGAAGAGATTGGGGCGCCCTGTGGGAGTTCCACGACTTAAACCTCATTTGAAGGCAAACAACACAAAGTCCAACATAAAAAAATAATCCTCAAGCTCTTTTGAGAAAATATTCTGTGGACCAGAGACAAAAAATGAAATTTCAGTTCAGTCTGTGTCCCGATTCGTCTGGATGAAAACTAACACTGCATTTCAGTACGGTGGTGGTAGTGTGATGGTCTGGACGCTCTGCTGCTTCAGGTTCTGGACCACTTGCTGTAACTGATGAAGAAGAAATGTTTGAACTTTGCCCTTAAACAGGCTGTTCATGCCGAAACATCCTCCAATGTGGCTGAATTAGTGGGTCTAAATTATACAGCAACGTGAGAGACTCGTTACCACAACCCCCTGGACCCCAGCTGCTGTCTCCTGGGCTGTTACAACCAGGAAGCAGGTCAGAAAAGTTCACGCTTTATCTTAAAAGGCCACGCTGGTTTGGATAGCTTCCTGTCTGAACATTTTGTGTTGACTTAGATTGTCTGACATTAAAATCTGTTTGCTGAGCTGAAACATTTAAGTGTGGCACAATAGCAGGAATAAACTGAGCATGCAGTGTCAGGATGTAACCTGATAGACAACTGATGGTTTGTAATTAGAAACTTGTGGTTGTGTTGGTGCTTTTATTTTTCCTCTCTCTTTTATCTTTTGTTTACATTTTTTTATCTTTTAACTTTTTCACTTTTGTATCATTTTGATCTTTTGATCTATTTTATAAAGTAGATAAATCTGCAGCATCAGACCATCTATCTGTGCAGTTCTGGTGGTGACAGATAGGTTTGCAGGGTCTTCTCCATCTCCACACATCAAAACCAGATGTTTCCAGGCTCCAGAGAGGTGAGGCTCCTGGAGATCTGGGTGACACATTAGAAATGTGCCGGGCTCATCCATCATCTGCTCAGAGCTGGCTCTACACTGACAGAGGGGCGACAGTGTAAAAGCTGGAGAATGGTCACCTATCTGTGAGAAGGAGAAGACTCCATGTCTGAGAGTCTGAAGAGGAGTGTTGTGTGCGGAAACGCTCCCGCCGCGTCAAAAACAACCTTCCTGCCAGAACTGGCTTCTCTGTGGTTTGTTTACACTGAGAGCTATTCCAGACAGCAGGTGCACACGCCGGCGTGCACGGTGAGCACACGCCTCCAGGAGGTATGTGGGCCGTGTGGCGAGAACACAAACTAGAAACAATTGCGAGAGCACGTACTTCGTTCTGCTGCATCCAAAAAAACAGTCACACCTGCGTCAGCTCGCTGCACACAGCTGCCCAAGAGAGGCTGGGAGAAAGAGCTGCAGCTCTTCAGCTGATCACTAAAGTGTGTGTGTGTGTGTGTGTGTGTGTGTGTGTGTGTGTGTGTGTGTGTGTGTGTGTGTGTGTGTGTGTGTGTGTGTGTGTGTGTGTGTGTGTGTGTGTGTGTGTGTGTGTGTGTGTGTGTGAGCTTCTGACTCTACGCAAACACATTTGTACACTCGTGCTTTTTGTTTGTGCTTGAGAGAGATGTGAGGAATGATCGCTCCATGAAGGGGAAGGATGATGGAGCAGTAAAAAATGAATCATCAGTAGACGGTGTGAACCCCCCCCCCCCCCCCCCGTGACTGTCTCAGAACCTCCTGGGACCTGAAAGCTCTCAGCAACAGAACTGTCATTGCAGAACTATTCAGTCAACCAATGCAAATGGTAAAGGTGTGTGTTCTGGCATCCATAATGGAAAGGTCATTGGTCAGACATGCAGTGTCAAAGTAACTCTGCTGGAGGAGTGGGAGGTATATAAAATGGATATGCAGGAGTCATGCTAAAGCATTAATGTGCAGACTGCTGCAAGAATAATCCGACTTCCTGCACATGATGAACAAGGAGCGGAAGACTCATGTTTCTTTTAAAATGACTCCAGTCACAACATTTATGTTTTCAGTCGTTTCGAAGAGTTTTTCTATGTAACAGTTGTGAATATTAACCATTGTAGCTGTTAGGAAGTGCCATAGTGTTTTCATCTTTCACTGCCTGCAGCTTCTGCCACCAAAAATCCAGCATGGAGTCACTTCCAGAGTTCTTTGGGTTCTTCTCCAAGGCTGTGTTTGAGCACCTCTTCCCTTTGGCACGCTCACAAACATGCTCATCATCTGAATCACGGCGTGTTAAAGCTAATCTGTACCAGATCTCCACACTGATCCCTCGGATGCCGGAGGATCAGCATGATGGGCTGTTTAAGATGGACACAAAGAGAGAAAAACACACCTGATGCAGGGGAAGGCAGTAAAACGTTGCTGTTGCTGCTGCTTCCTCCACACAATAACAAAGTTTTTAGCAAACCCAGCTACAGCTGCACACAAGATAGGCCTTTAGGATTATGCAGAAAGCAACCGCAAACACAGAGATATCCAAGGATGTGTAAGAACCAAAAAACAAAAAAAAAACATCATGTGATCTTCAGGCAGTTTGTGGTAATCACCATGGAGAGCTGGTAGACCATCAAACGTTCAATCAACCAGTTCTCTGCTGCCTTTTATTTACCCTCTGATTCTCTTTTGGCAGAGCGGATGTGGTCTCAGCAGCAACAAGAGCAGGTAGTGTGTGTGTGTGTGTGTGTGTGTGTGTGTGTGTGTGTGTGTGTGTGTGTGTGTGTGTGTGTGTGTGTGTGTGTGTGTGTGTGTGTGTGTGTGTGTGTGCGCGCGCGTGTGTGTTTGTGTGTGTGTGTGTGTGTGTGTGTGTGTGTGTGTGTGTGTGTGTGTGTGTGTGTGTGTGTGTGTGTGTGTGTGTGTGTGTGTGTGTGTGCATATAGCGACAGAACTCATCTGGCTGTTGGTGGATGGAGAGTGTTCCACCCATCTCCACCCAGTCCTGAAATACACCAGACTGGTTACACACACACACACACACGCGCACACACACACACACACACACACACACACACACACACACACACACACTCATGCTCAGAGAAATCTCTTAATCTCACTCTTATTGTCTTCTGATTGTTGAGACAAAACTAAATGTGCTCAACCAAAGCTTCTGATTCAGCACACGTTATTTTCCTGCTGTGAATGAACAGAACAACTCCAATCACGAGGAGGATGTTTCACACTAAACATTCTGGTGTTTGATTTGGACAATTTGGTGACAGTGTGGTAGGATTCAGAAGGTTATTGTTTACAATTTCAGGGTCAAAGCTCACAGTCAGAGAGACCTAATCAACACGAGCTAATGACCAGTGCTTCAGAATGGTGAATGGTGAAGAATGGTGAGCACAGTCAGAGTCAGCCCACAGACCAGCACCAAAGACCTACAACATCATCTTGCTGCAGATGGAGTCGCTGTGCATCTTTCAACTATTTGGTGCACTTTACACAAGGAGATGCTGCATGTGAGAGTGATGCAGAGGAAGCCTTTTCTCCACCCACAGCACAAACAGCTGCTTGAGGTTTGCTAAAGCACATCTGGACAAGTCAGCTTCATTGTGGAATAAGGTGCTGTGGACTGATGAAACTAAAGTGGAGTTATCTGGGCATAACAAGGGGCGTTATGCATGGAGGAAAAGAACACAACATTCCTAGACAAACCCCTGCTACCTACAGTAAAACATGGTGGTGGTTCCATCATGCTGTGGGCTGTGTAGCCAGTGCAGGGACTGGGAATCTTGTTAAAGTTGAGGGATGCATGGATTCCACTCAATATCAGCAGATTCTGGAGACCAACGTTCAGGAATCAGTGACAAAGCTGAAGCTGCACCAGGGATGGATCTTTCAACAAGACAGTGACCTTAAATCTACTAAGGCATTTATGCAGAGGAACAAGTAGAAAGTTCTCGAATGACCATCTCAGTCCCCAGACCTGAATGTTATTGAAATTCTGTATGTGGTGTGAGTTAAAGAGAGCTGCCCATGCTCAGAAGTCATCAGAATTCTCAAATATCAGTGCGCGCGTGTGTGTGTGTGTGTGTGTGCGCGCGCGCGCGCGCGTGCATGCGTGTCCAGTTTGATATATTTAACTAAATGTTTTATCGTAAAAACCAACGATTTATACAGGAAAATCCTAAAGGCTGCCCAAACTTCCGCTCCCCATGACCCCTTTAAAGGACAATAGTAGGTTGTTCATTTGTTGTTGTTGCTGTTTTAAAGTAAAAAGGTTTGACTCAGTAACAGCTGTGGGACATTCAGACGTCTACATTATGTATTCTGAATGTTGTTTATTAGAATAATAAAGGTTCTCAGTATGGTTTTTGTTTATTATAACAGGTAAATATGGATCATCTGTTGGATTATATAATCTGGAGAGTTTGAGGAGAGACGTGCTCGCCCCTGTCGGTCGTGCGTGGAAACGATCCAGCTCGTGAGGGGCGGGGCCAGAGCCAGGTACCAAAAAAAAATCAGTATCTGGATTATGAGGAAGGCGCGCTCCAGCAGGAGCGCACACACGCTCCAGTCGCAGAGAGAAGAGGAGTTCTAGCTCAGATCGGAACCAGACTTTGTTTTTCGGGACATTTTTTGCGCCGTTGAATCTAAAAACCTTCATCTGAGTCCGAGAGGATTTACTAAATCTATCCCAGACGCGTCTCGGGATTAAAGATCTCACCCCGCAGGTAGACCGGAGAAATACAAACTCGGTGGTTTTTTATGTTTGTTTGTTTGTTTTTTGTCTTAAACCATCTTTTTCTCGTGGTTTTTCCTCTTTTGTCTTCTTACAGGATTTGAAAAGAAGACTCTGGAAAACTCACACTGTTTCTTCCAGAGAAAAGACTAAAGGGAGAAACCTTCTCAGAGCGACTTTGATCATCTGAGCCGTCCCAGAGATGGTGGGGCATTTACATTTACAAGCGATGGATGAAAGTCTGAAAGGAAAGAACAGGGAAGGGCTGCTCGACAGTCCGGATTCGGGCTTGCCCCCCAGTCCCAGTCCGCCTTTCTGCTCTATGTCTCCGGCTCTGACCGGCTGCTCAACGCCCGTGGAGAGCGCTGCTGGCGTGGATAAGGACAGCAGCAAGGAGGGCAAACTGGTGAGTGTGTGACTGCGTTTAACTCTGAGCTGCTGAAGGCAAACGCACACGGAGCTGAGTATCTGAGCAGAACCAGATCCCAGTTCAGCTCCTCTACCATAACATCTGGAAGCTTTCTGACTCTGAGCGGAATTTAGACCTCTGATGGTGATGATGCGTTCTCATCAGCTGCTCCAGGAGGTCTGTGGGTCAGCTGATGACCCACACAGAGGTCCGGTGTCCCCCAGGGGTCAGTTCTAGGGTTCTGGTTCATGTTGATTAAAAAGCTGGTTGATCCCACCCTGGGTCATGAGATGATCTAGATCTCCAGAAAAGCCACTGGAATATTCTCACAATGATCCATAGTCCTAAACAGGTCTAAGAGTAAATCTGTCATTTAGAGGCGTTATGTGGGTCACAGGTCTTTGCTGGTGTCAATGCTAAAAACGTCTAGCCTGACCAGCCAGCCCCATGCTTCCTTATAGTTCTCAGTGTAGATTTAATCAGAGGAAGAGTCTGGCAGGCCGGCTAAAAACTACTGAATGATAAAAACCTTTTACAGGAATCTTCTGGAACCCGTTTGAAGGAGCAGGTTGGAGTTCAGCCCCAACCTGCTAGACTTGTTTCTTTTACATGATGCAGTCTCCTAAAGGGATTATCTGACACGCTGACGTGTGTTTCTTTCCTAAATGTCAATAATGCATCCTGAATGGCCTCAGTTTGGAGAAACAGTGTTTACGCTAATGAAAGGTCCGAAACAGAACAAGACCAAAGAAACGAGCAGTTGTCTCAAATCCACTCCAGTCTCTGTGTGTTTGGTAAGCTTTTACACACATCACGTTCACGTTACACTTATTTAAAAGCTTGAATGTGACCGGTGTAGCATAGGAGAAGGCCGTGTAATGCAAAGGTTATAACAAATGTCATAACCTTTGCATACATGATGCTACACCAGCATCTAAAAAAGCACTCTGGTGGATCCAGGGGTCAGATTACAACAACAACTAGAGGTCCTGAAAAATAATCAATTCAAGTCTGAATCGGGATTCTTATTTATAAAGGGTCAGAATCGATTCCAAGAACTCAAATATTTGGCATGTTACAGGTTTGAGATGCACTTTTGTCTGTTTTTTAATCTTTGTTAGGAGAGTCAGTCCTCCGTTTACTTTTGTGGTCCCATAAATTGAGATGATTTATGTTTGAATCTGCTGATAAGAGGGCACTTGAATGTAATTTTTTCCATACTCAGAAATTTGAGATATTCTCATATTTATTTTCTAAGTTGATAAATGAGTACTCAGGATTACTCGTGTAACTTGTTTCTACACATGAAAAACTTGACCGTATTACTTCCAAAGCTACTGTTAGGTAACTACAGATTAGTTATATTTTACAAGGTAAGCAAAATAAATGTTGCCTTTTGGTCAAAAGATTGCTTCTGTTTACAGTTTTAGAATCACTTTAATTTACATTGTAAATTTGCATTTTTGGAGCATGACCAGTTTAAAGTCAAATAAAAATGTCCCATAGCTTCAACTAACTCGTACAACAAAGTAGTTCATCCTGGAGCTGACACTCTTTGTTAATACTGATTGTGAATCGATTTAAATTGAGAATCGAGAATCGATTCTAAATCGAATCAGCACCCCAAGAATCGGAATCGAATCAAATCGTGCGTTGCTCTAAGATTCGCATCCCTAACAACAACAACAATAATAATAATAATTACCAAAAAGAAACATGTGCAAAATATAAATGTGTAATGGTTGGTTTTGCACCAGGCCAGGTGATATAAAACCAAAGATGGCTCAGGGATGTGTTCTGTGTTAACTCCATTTGTTTAACTGCTGTTCAGGAAGCTGACCTGAATCATGTAGAATGTAACTAATAAACCCACCCTTCAACCTTCTCGTACTTCTGATAAGAAACAACAACATTTTTCTGATGCTATCAGATGTTCAAGGAACCAAAAACGTTTAAACTATCCCCCAAACCTTAGGCAAACATCTACCACATCCAGTGTACAAAGCAGCACCTTGTAGATCAGGTGGAATAAAAGCTCCTCTCTCGGTGACGACCCAGAGTCCTGTTTGGCTACTTAGTGCGACGCTTTTATGAAATCTTAGTGATCTTTTTGCATGAGCTCCTTTAAACCTGCAGCATATTCCTGGGAAGACGTGTGCTAACAACAATTCACATAGTTCACCTTGATGTAGTTTCAGTTAGCTGGAAACGGTAACAGAAAAATAACAGGATTTGAATATTTTCCACCAGAAAAATGAGTGATTTATGGTAATTTGGTGCACTTTTTTCCTTCTGAGGAGACATACATTTTAATGACACCTCCTGCTGTGACCTGTGTGTCACACACTGCAGGGCTGATTGGAGTGAAAACTGTATCCAGGTCACTCCCAGTTTCCAAAGAGCATGTCTGTGCAGGCCGGAGTGGTTTGTAATGAGTCTGAAGGAGGCCTCGGCTTGGAGCTGCAGCGCCGGCAGCTGAACCCATCCGCTGAACAGGAGAAGTTCTCCGATGTTCTGCGTCAGTTTTAGATTAATCCTCATCTGAGCTTGTGTTTGTTAAAAAAAACATCCAACAGCTGAAGGATGTGTCACATTTGAGTGTTTGGGTTTGAGTAGCTATTGCACAAGTGTCTAAAGAGCTTAACTTGTAAATTAAACACAGATGAACTCTCAGACCTGTGCAGATGCAGGAGAATCGTGTTTTCACCTGATTTTAACTCTTAAAAGGGAGATCTGTGGTTGTGATGTGTCCAGTTCAAGGAGGTGGCTGAGCTGTTGGTAGAGCAGGCAGTCCGGCTACACGGGCCTCTCTGTGTGAGACGGATCCACTCCCATCAACTTCCCTATAAACACAGGATGTAAAGTCCGAGGCCGAACAGCCGGCAGCTGGAATCTCTCTCTGCAGATCTGCGTTGTGCATTGTGTGGTTTGTTCGGCTGCAGACTGTTTTTTCTTCTGGGTAGAAATGTGCTTCCAGGCAGGTTTACACTTTGTCTGCTTGTTGGGGGTGGGGGTTGTTTTCCAGAGCTCTCTGAATAGAAATACCTGGAATGCTCTCTGTTCTGGAGCGGAGGAGGAAAGCCGATCACACACTCGTACCGCCTGTCCAGGTCGCCGTGGCCTGCAGATACAGCTCAATCCTAACTCGCTGCTGCGTGAGTTCAGAGTCGCTGTGGTGATGGCGAGTTTGAATGGGCCGCTATCTTGGCCTGCTCCTGCCCGTCCTCGTGTGGCGTGTGCAGTCAGACTGCAGCGTGTGACAGCCTCCTGTGCTGCAGCTGTGGTGCTGCTCAGTCACAGCTGGGGTTCCACCAATGGTGTCTGTGTTGGACAACGTGGGACAGTATGGGACAAATGCAGAGAGGACACCTGATAAACGGATCATTATTAGCAATAGACCCAACATCACTACATCTAAACAGAGTTTGGATCTTTTAAAGTTTATTCTGACTTCTGATGCAATTTGAACAGCTTCAGTTTGGAGAAACATAGAATATGGAGCAGTATTTTAGGCTGAAAGTCAGAGCTCAGATCTAGGACACCTGGCTGCAAGTCAAAAACCACAAGGATTAGCTTAGTGTTGTGCTCAGTGACCAGGTTAACTTTACGTTAGCTAGACAAGCTAACATCGATCTATTCCTCTACATTCTAATGCCGTAGCTACATGCTCGCTAACCGTGACTGACCAGTAACTGAACTGTGGCTGAGATACAGACCAGCAGAATGCCTGTAAAGGCTTTGCATATGCAAGGCAGCCATATTGGATTCTGAGATGCGATCAAAAATCTCAGGCTTTAAAATACCTTAGTCTGAAATGATCAAATTAGAGTTTAAATTTAGCGGGAATCTTTTTTTTTTTATCTATTCTGACTAGAAGTTAGCTCAGTCTGATGAGAATTATTTCCTGTTTCTCCAAACTGAGGTTGTTCAGTGGTTCACAGGAATTTAAATGTCAAAATATTCATACGAATCCAACATCTCCTGACAGCCTGATCTGATGAGTCTGCATCAAATATCGATGGGATTTAGTTTGTTACTCTCGTTTTAATCTCAAAGTCTAGAAGAGAATAATAATAAATGCAGATTATTTTAGCTGCTGCTACTTTTTCTGTCTGGCAGGCATTTTTAATTTGAGAAGGAATGTGTTTACTGGTGCTCTATTTCTGTTTTTGTGGTAGGATCCTTGTTATCTGCTGGGATCAGCACCAGTGGTTCCTCTGAAACGTTTCCAATGGGTGTCAGAAAGCAGTAAAGCCCTTCACCTCGACTAACCTGCGTTTGACCCACGTGTGTCTGTTAATGTCATTTATATGTTAAATAAGAATGTTATTTTATGCAAAAACAAATATCCTTCAATGTCAGACGTGTGTGTGCGCGTGTCATGGATTAGGTTATCTTCAGACAGAAGCAGGGAGGTTTCCTACAGAGATTGTTATTTTCAGATTATGACCTCTGTGCTCTCCTCCTCACAGCTGCCCTACCTGCTGCTGAACTGTGCAGGAAGTGACCCAAAGACCCGCATGCACCCCGTCTTCTTTGGAGAAAGCATCAAGGTCAACCCCAGACCAGAGCAGGAAATCAAGTAAGAGATCCTATTGGACCAGCATGCTCCTCTAATCATGGTCCAGATTCCTAAACGCTTGTCTCCTTTGTTCCAGATGTTCCTCAGAGGTCAAGTACGACTCAGACAAGCATTACAGAGACCAGGTGCTCTGCGCCTCCGTTCCCACACCCACCTCCTTCAGTGAGACAGTGGTGGCGGTGCAAAACTGCACTTGGAGGAGCTACAAGACGCAGGTGTACCTGGAGCCCCGTCAAAAGCCCGTCAGATACCAGAGCACCACCATCATCTACCCAAAGCACGCCAAGAACACTTACCGCACCACACTCAGCTACAACGCCACCAGCTCCCGCCGCTGGTTCGTCTCCACGGTGCAGCTGGAGTCCAGCGAGGACACAAGTCCCTGCATCATCTACACGGAGAACCTGTAGGGTCCTGACAGGAAAAGGACCCCATCGTGACCCAGGAGGCTCCTGTGTGTGTTAACTCTAACCGTTTCACCGGAGTGCTGCAGCTTCAAAGGAGCCGTTCAAATCTGCACATCAGTGGTCTCAAGTCTTATTTAATGTCAGAGCGGACTCAGCTGGAGCATCTGCTCTCCTGCAGGCTCAGCTTCCCATCAGAGGATTTCAGCACAAACTCTCTGTTGCACCTGAACTCGTCACAGTGAACTCTCTCAGTGCTGCCTCTGAAATAAGTGGACCAAAAAAAAGAATCATGTTTCCTGTTAGAGAGGACGTCTACAGATCAAGTCATAAAGCTTCTAAACAGGTTTCCTTCGGTTTAGTTTGGAGGAGTTGCAAAGCAAAAGGTTGGGAGGATTGAAAATAGTTTTATTTATTAGAATGGGAGACAGTCATTAATCTAGAGTGTGTCTCGTTTCTGTGGTTAGAATAAAAGAGGAATAACAATAGAAAACACTCCTGAAATTTAACCTTTAGGTTAGGTTTAGAGATCTGTCGTGTTTTCAGATTTGATCCAGCATGGATCTAATCCCCTTATAATCCTAAATTTTTACGAAACCCAATTAAATGTTTGTGCAGAATATTCATTCTTTTCTGACCTTTTTTTCTCTTGCATCTAAAACTAAATAATTGAAGTTGCTGAAACAGCAAAAAGAAAACTTTACTTGGGATTTTGTCTGCAGATGTGTTTCTGTTTTTTATTTTTCCCGCTGAGATTTGGCACGCTTGTTCGTGTTTTGTATTTTAAGAGCCCTTTGGGTTCGGTGAGGGTCAGGGCCGAGATGGTGGGAGAGCTGGAGACTAGTAAGTACAACAGAAGGTACTGGGAATGAGAATCTGATGAGTTTCTGATGGTTTTGGATGTGAAATGTCAGAAGATGAGAGGAAGTTGGTGATTTTTAAAATTCCTTTGGTGGGTTTGTCTTCCAACACTTGATTTTGTAAAATACTTCCTGTTGTATATGTGGCATTGAGGCATTCTGTGATTCTCTTTATATTTTTGTATGTCAATCATTGTTCCTGCTCTGATCAGAGGTTATTATTTAAGAAGATTTATATCCTAAACAAATAAAAAATATGCTCTAGTTTTTTTTTTGTGGACTTGTTGCTTTAGGTTTCATTTTAGTTTTCACATGAACAAAATTATATCAGAGCTAAAAATCCGAAAGTAAACCTGTGAATAAATGAATGAAACTTTTCCTGATGGAGTGGCTTGGGAGCCCCTCCCCCACTCAGGCCAATCAGCCTGCATGCACAGGCATTAAATATCAGCCTGCAACTAAAATAACAGCAGCCCCTGCAGCCAGCGTGGGTGCAGACCTCTGGATCGGTGCCCTGATTTCTGTCCACAGCGGCTCACATCATTCAGCAGGGCTGGATGGGAGCGAGGCGCTTAAGAAGGCCTGGTTCAACTGCAAACGTTCAACTGGAGCTGATGTTTTAGCTCCAACATGAACACAAGCTGTAGGATGAAGGGAAGCATTCTGCATTTCTCTGCAACGCGAGGTGGATTTGTGAAGTTACGCTGACAGAACCTGGTCCAGATGTTTAAAAAAACAATAAATAGTTAAATGCAAAAAGAAATGTTGAAGTAAACATTGAGGTTAAAATGAACATTCCTTTTAAGTGTTCACTAAATTCATGATACGAACAGTGTTCTGTGTGTGTGTGTGTGTGTAGCACGTCCGGTTCGTTTATAGAACTGGTGAATCTGGATGCAAATCTAATCTAAAACAGGACTCATGAATGTTCCAGGTGAGTGACTAACATGACCTCGGTGCCCCCTGCTGGTGGTTTACCCACATTACTCCATTCTGACCCAAAAGACCGGACTCTGAGACCGTGACTGGCAATAAGCTTTTTATTTAAACATTAAGGCAGTGTCTTTTTTTGTTGACGTTTTTCATTTTTACACTGCTATCCACAAAGCTTGCTGGTGGGCATGTAGAACTTTAACAATGTGAATATTTCTTTTCATAATACCAACCTCAAAGCAAGCCACATAAATATTTACATCTCTTCAATTGTATATACAATCCTTGCTATAATACAGTGGGTTATAATAAAAAAAAATATATGCACAAAAATGGTTGAACGATGTGTCTTTTCTCCCCAGCTACAGTTGGACAGTCCAGGAATCAACGTTGTCCTTTAAGGTTTGAACGATTCTAACGACACGGCTGAGCGATGAAAAACACGTTAAAAACAAAAGAATGGACGTTAAAAATACATTTCATTGTACTTTTAAAAACCACGTGAGTTCAGGGAACAGCTGGATATGGCTTTGTCTGTTTAGTGTCACATTCTTACATTTCAGCAGTGGGAGGGAAAGGATTTACATAGAGAGCCATGGCTGTGTTTCTGCCTTTGACGACGGTGAAGTGACAAACCCTCCTGTGGTCCTAAGAAAGGAGCTAAAACACAGCTGAGATGAGCCGACAGCAGGTAAGGCATTCTGGATGCTTCACCAAGGGCGCGCGGGGAGAGGAGGTAGTCCTATAACAGTCATGTCTGTGTTGTGGTTTAAAAAAGAGCCAGAGATGGATCAGAGGTGCTCCTCTCGTCAGATTACACAAAAAGCGGCCTTTGAAATACTGCATGAAAATGTGAGAACATGTCACATAAAACCAGCAGAACGTCTCGCTCTGGACTTCCTCCGAGCCACGCCGACAAACAAGGTGCAATGAAGAACACTTAAAGTCGTCTGTATGGCCTTTTGGAGAGGGGTGACGAGTCAGACCAGCAGAAAGGGGACGCTGGGATTGGATTTTATATTTTAGACATCTGTGTGTGGAAACTTCAGCACTCGGGGACAAAAGGAAAACTTGTGCGTCAGTTACCTTATATGCGTAAAATAAATGGCACTTAACACTAAGAGCTCAGGACTGTACAAGATCTGCCAGGATGAGGAGGGGAGCTGCAGCAGCCCCCGGGACAACTAAAGGTCAGAGGTCAAACCGTCAAACCAGCTCCTAGCTGAGACGGACACCAGGGGTCAGAGACAGATGGCTTGTTTCTATCCCCTCTTTAGCGTGAGGGAACTCGGAGCCACTCACGTCAACCTGATTGTCTTTCTGAGAGTGGCGGCGCTGAAGCCCACGAGCAACTGGACCAGAACCAGTTAAGGAGAACAGCGGAGTTGTGTGCTCCGCCTCCACCTGCAGACGGATGTTTAGTAAAAATGCCACCGAGAACAGACCGACAGCTAAGTGCTCAATATTGGAAAACCGCTTCAACAAACACAGACGTGATTCATAAACAGTGAGAAATGTCACTTGTCTCAGTGCCATCCACCTGGCGAACCCCCCCACCCCCGTTAACACAACATCAGCAATGAACCGCTAGTTTACCCTGTAAACCAATGATATGACACCCCGTTAGCCTCGCCCCTCCCACACACACGATCTCAGCCCCTTAACCCGCCCCCAAAAAAGAACCAAACAAAAAGATACATCTTTGAAGATAACAGACAACAAATGACACCATCAAAAGTTCACCACCAAAATGTACTAAAGGTCACCAAACACGGGACCAAACCGGCAGAGTTCAGAGGAAAAGAACGAACCAAAACCAGAGAAACCTCCTGTAGTGGTAGCAGGCCGCCTGCACCCGCAGGTCACGGTGAAATACACACACACACCCGGGTTCAGGTCCATGCATCAGCCGTCCCCTCCATAAGCACAGCACCCCCCAGGGTCACAGGTCAACCAGTCTGTGCTGATAAGGCCAGTGAGGAAAAGCAGTAGAGCAGAAAGACGAGTGATTTGTCCTTCAGAGTCCTGGAGTGCAAACACAAACGGAGCAGCAGAGTTCAACCTCATCACTCCTACTGGAGGTGTGTGTGTGTGTGTGTGTGTGTGTGTGTGTGTGTGTGTGTGTGTGTGTGTGTGTGTGTGTGTGTGTGTGTGTGTGTGTGTGTGGTTAGTGGGTCCTGTCGTGACGTGGCTTTTCTGGTCACTCGCTGTCAGACAGAGTCTCGTACTGAGACATGAGCAGAGGTTTGGGTTCCTCGTCCCAGGAGCGAGCGTGTCCAGAACCGGACATTGGACCCTGTCCCCCCTGTGAGACAGAGGAGGGGGAATGGGCTGAAACCGTCCCGCTGTGGAAACGCATGGTCAGCGGGTTACACAGAATGGGGGTTGGAGTTGAACCTGCAACACACACACAAACAAAACGGTTAGGATGAGCCTGACTCCATCAGCCCACAGAGGACCGGACGGGGTCAAAAGGCATCTCAGACCTGCAGACAAGGGTCGGTCCTCCCACACTCGGTTGGTTAGAGGAGTTCGTCTGTTGCAGTCTCCCTCAGAATGAACCGAGGACACAGATGAAGGTCTTTCACTGCCGGACTGACCCGGTCCTGGAGACTTGGCCTTACGCCCGTTAGAGCGCCCACTGCTCTTGGACGGCTTTGATCCACCTGTGGACAGGAACCCAAACGGATGACAAAGCCTTCTGGGACTTCTGAGTTGATCTCTGGTAGAAAGTTTATAAGCGGACTTTGAATAAAAACTGATGAGAAAATTGATTTCTGAAACCTTGACAGACTAAAACAACCCCAGCAGGTGTCAGTTAGATTCTAGTTGGTATCTCACTGGGCGTGTCCAGGACCCCTCCTTTATGGGTTTTGTGAATCAAGAGCATGTGAGACAGCTTTGCGAGTGGTTGAGAAGTAATTAGGACACACGAGAATACAGAGCTCAGCATAAACGAGTACACCCCTTTAAAAGTACAAATTTAATCAGTGAACAAAAAAACTGTTTCCAGAATGTTCTCAAGGCTGGGTTTTATTGAACACTTGTTTAACTCCATAACATGAAGTTAAGGTTAATAATATAACTTAGATCACACAATCTTCTGTTTTACCAAAATTGGTTGAAGCAACAATGAACACACCCCACGGCAAAAAATACTACACACTACTTTGTATGACCACCGTGATTTTAAAGAACAGCAACAAGTCTTCTAGGCATGGAATGAACAAGATGGCGCCATGTTACAACATCAATCTTGCTCCTTTCTTCAAGAGGAACCTCTTTTAGAGCCTGGATGCTGGATGGAGAGCGATGCTCCACTTGCTGCTTCAGAATTCTCCACAATGTGTTTGAGTTCAGGTCTGGAGACACACTTGGCCATTCAGTCACCTTCACCCTGTTCTTCAGAAATGCAGCAGTAGCTTTAGATGTGTTTTGGATCATTGTCATGTTGGAAAAGTGCAGAACGGCCAAGTACACAGAGTGATGGCAGCATCTTCTTCTTCAGTATAGGGCAGTACATTGTTGAGTTCATGATACCAGCAGCAGCACTTATGCAGGCCCACATCAGGACACAGCCTGAGCCATCACCATGCTTCACTATAGGCACCATGCATTTCTCTTTGAAATCCTCACCTTCACCACGCCACACAGTTTTGAAACCATTAGTTCCAAAAACAGTAATCTTTGTCTCACCCCCCCCCCCCCCCCCTTCTTTCTTACATTTTTGGATCACTTTTGCTGCAGTATTCTCACTGATATGGGAAGCTTTGCTGATCAGCCCTCAAATTTTTAATGTAAAGAAATGATTTCCTTTCTAACATTTTACGACATCTCTCTTCCATGTGGAGCCGTTGCTGACGGCATGAAATGAGGAGGGCTTTTCTGCTCTTGTTCCGCCTTTCCCAGGATCCACTGATTTCCCTCTTTCCTATTCATTTTCTCTCTCCCTTTCCTTACGTTTTATTTTTTATTCACAATTTATATTTTTTATCATATTTTAAATCATTAGACTTTTTTTTTCTTCTTAATTCTTTTTTGTTTTTGTGAAGCGCCTCGTGATTTTTATCTTGAGAGACGCTATATAAAAGATCTTTCTTTTCTTTGTTAAGTAATGCCCTTTTATAGTCACCTGTCTGCTGGACACCTCTTAAATGAATCCTTACGACTCACCTGTGGCTTCATGCCCGTTCATTTGAATCTAGTGGCTTTTCTCCTAAGACTATAATTGAGGTGTGCTCATTTTTGCAACATGGGCTTGAATTGATTTGTTAGGAAAATCACTTTTTTTTGCAAATGAACAAATCCTGCTTGCAGTCAATGACCCACTTATGTGGGAGTATTGTGTAGTGTGGTATCTCATAGAAAATGTAGATTCTGAAGGGAAACTAAAGGTTTTCTGACTAATGTAGTGGGGTGTACTCATTTATGCTGAGCACTGTAGATTACTACACCCCCCCCCCCCCCCCCCCCCCTTTACTAAAGGGTTCCCAGTGAAGCAGCACCTTGTGAGAGTGAGTCCTCAAGCCGTCCATCAGCAGAGACACCAGAACCTGGCAGGTTGGTGGTGCTGGAGGGTGAGCGCTCCTCAGATGAATCATCATACTTCCCCATCAGGGCCTTTCTGATGATGGCCTCCAGGCCGATGGAGTTCCCAGGTGTCTCTGGGGCAGGGTGGCTGCGCACATTCACAGTTCCTGAAAGCAGAAGCAGAGTGAAAAGTTCCCTCTTAGAGAATCCACATCTACCTGTAAATCAGCTCAACTGAGTGCATCTGCTACTGACACATCTCACCCGTTTGTAGATCCACCCAGAGTAAACCATTAACTAGATCACCATTTTAACAGCTTACCTGCAGTCGTGGACGCTGGCATGTTGAAGATTTCTGTTCCAGGCTGTCCAGCATCTGAAACCATTGGCAGAGAAATCAGATCAACCTCTCGTTTTTCTTAGTTTGAATCCTTCCTGTGATGATGTCACACTCACTGAATTCCCCGTCATTTCCAACCACAGTCATCTTCTTGATCATCTCCTGCTTCTTGGACTTGACGATAGCCGAGGTGTTTTCCGTCAGCTTGCTGAAGAATGCTGGAGGCTGAGCGGCGTTGGGGGGGGAGCGGGAGCCCAGCCTGCCATGGGGGAAAGCAGGGTTTAGACGTCTAGCGAACATTATGAAGCTTAAACTCAGACGTGTGTGTGTGTGTGTGTGTTTTACAGACAGGTATGTTTCACACAGACCTGTGGGAACCAGGGACCAGTGGCTATAATTTAAAATCCTTTGCTGTAATAAACCAGTTTAAACCTGTCGGCTCTTCTGCCAACATCTGAAAACTAACCTGAACTCACAAATGTCAGATATGACTTTAATGTGTTTGCTCTCTAAACAAACGACCTGAATGCTGAGTAAAAGTCGTCTCACGGGAATCCCCGGTTCGACAGACTTACCCCTGGTCCCCCTGCTCGCTGGGGTAGGAGGCCCCTTCCTGGATGTCAGGATCTGAGCCGGCTCCAGGAGGAGACACCGGTTCGATGCCGTCAGAAACATTGATGGGTGAAGACTTGGACTGAGGGGGAGACCTGGAACACCAAAAAAAGTCAGAATTAGGTAGCTATCCAATAAAAACACACTCCACTGTGGTAAAACGTAGTTATAAGCCTCTTCAGAGAGACGTAAAACCAGAAACATCAGTGAGAGGAAGTGATGGGGTTGTGGCTCCTACCGATCTCTGTTGCACTCCCCACCCAGACCCTCTGGATAGCGGGGGCCGCGGGCAGATTCCTGGGAAGTGGGCAGGAGCTGGGAGGCACTGGGTGGACGAGTCAAGTCTAGGATAGGAGAGCTGTGGTAGCTTTGCTGTTGCTTGCTCTGCCTGGTGTAGTCGTTAGTGATCACCTCCTGTTAACAGCAGAAACAAGCGTTTACATCACACACACGCACACACACACACACACACACACACACGCGCGCGCGCGCGCGCACGCACACACACACACGTGCGCACACACACACACACACGTGCGCACACACACACACACGCACACACACACACGTGCGCACACACACACACACGTGCGCGCGCGCACACACACACACACACGCGCACACACACGTGCACACACACACGCACACACACACACACACACGCACACCTGCACACACACACACACATGCGCACACACACACGCGCACACACACACATATGCACACACACACAGTCACCAGCTGATCTGTGGGACTTACACTGATGTGCTGCGCCAGAGTCACCACCCTTTGGCTGCCTTTGACACAGGGGGACTGGGGCTGCTGTCCTGGAGACAATCTCTCCTCTGAGGGGGGGCGGTAGAGACCGTGTTGCGGAACTGAGTCAAACACACACACACACACACACACATTAATGTTAATAAACAGGACCTTGAAGAAAACTAATAATGGCTTTAAAATAAATGATTGCTAGCTGCATGTTTGAGTCTAGAACATAACAGAGAACATCCAGACTCTTGCACAGAAGTTTCCTCTGAGAGGAGGATGATGTAAACAACGTGCGGAGGGCTGGGCCATCTACAGACTCAACCAGAGTAGACAAGCCCCGCTCACAGGGAACCCTACGCTATCATTTCTGTTAGCTTGCAGCAAAATAAGAACCCGAGTTTCTTTCATTGCCTCACATTCTCCTAAAGAGCCCGTGGTCTTTGACTGGAGTATGTGAATGAGTGAGAAAAGCTAAGTGATGATGAAGGTAGAAAAACAAGCTTCCTGTGATGTGAGGTTAGCATGCACCCTACAGCATCATAAACACACTCTGTAAGAAAAAACAAATAAGTCAGACCCAGATGTTTGATCAAGAGAAAAGCTCTGAGAGCTTTCAGAGTGGAAAACAGAAAAATAAATCGGTATTGTTACAGAGCCGCTGCCAGCAGGAACGTGCAGAGAAGTTGTAGAGGCATGCAACAATCAGTGTTCAAACTAAAAAACTCCATTTTGTTATTTTTTTTTTATTGTAGTTTTCATTTGTTACGAGGACTAATTGTTTTTTTGTGCCAAGGCAGGATGGGTACGGGTGTGCTGAGTAACTTCTCACACCCGCCGGTGAATAATTATACTGCTAACATGGCTTCCTTTTGTAAAACACTGTCTACTGTGTTAAGATTGGTAAATTATTTCATGAAACAGTCATTTGGCTGTTTTGCTGCTTTACTCTTGAAAATCTGTTAAACACTGAGCCAAAGTATGTGTGCAGAAGATCAGTCAGGTGACAGAAAAGCATCCTTTGGCTTCCCGTTGATCCCAACGGTCTGAGATTTAAAAGGAACAAGAGAGATGACGGATGCCGCGTGATCACCTCAGACAGACAAGCAGTAAGCAAGCCTCTGCCTTAACGCCCCACTAGCTTCAGCTACCTTAAAGGACACCCAGGATCTTCTAAATGAAAATGTTAGGGTTTGGCGAGTTAAACCTCGTAAATGCTTGATCAGCCTTATACACCCCCCCCCCCCCCCCCCCCCCCCTGTAATTGGATCGGGTCTAACTGTGGAAACCAGGTGAACGATTACCCAGAGTGCACCCTTGGTGGTCTTTAAGTTTGTGCAGAAAAGTTAATAACAAATCTGGGGGAAAGAAACAAATTGCAGCTCTGAAATAAAAAGTAGATGAATTGAGCTGATTAAATAAAGTCAATCACCACAGCTACAACAGGCCACAGGCTGACGAGGTACAGTCTGGGTGATGAGGGGGACCCCTAGGATCCAGAGTGTCCCACCATCAGTGGCTGCTGGGAACAAGCGAACCCGTCTCTAGCATCCCTGTCTCATTAGAAATTTCATGCATAATAACTATGAAGTTGGCTGCAGCCATGGTGGTCTTACCGAGCGACCGGAGCTCTTGTTCCTGAGTGGACATCAGTTTGTTTTGAGTTTTTTCTCTACTAGGTGTGCCACCTTCCTCACGGCCAGAGGAGCTGCCCGACTGAGGAGGAGGCAGGTGTTGGGGGCGGACTGAAGGCGGGGGATAGGAACTGGGATATATTCCTCCTGGGTTGGGGCTGGACAACTTGGGGTCAGATTTACCGGAGGCCCCGTGCTGCTCCTGCGCGTGTTTGAGCAGACTCCCCCGAGGTTTGCCTCCATCGCGGCTCGGCTCTTTGGCTACACTCGAGTCCATGGCAGGTGTGTAGCCTTCAGGGGGCACACCTGTCTTTGGGAAGGAACCAGGGTAACCTTGGTAGGGGGATGAGCGTATGGGCATGGACCTGACGGGACGACCAGTACACATTAAAAACAACAATGACTCATAGATAAATATGTCAGAACAGTGAGAAGTTTACCGTAACACAGATGAGTGCTCGCTGACAGAAATGCTTTTGCCTCCCGTGTGCAGAACGCTTGGCCTCTGCTGGACGTTGTCCTGAGTTCGAGGAGACACGGGGGAGGGCTGGTGGCTGTAGGGCTGGGATGCAGGTCTGCTGCTGCTGCTGGACAAGCCTGCTTCTGTACCTGAGAAACACAGACTCATGAGATTCTACAACCAGAAACGTCTATCATCACATTCCAGGTAAGCTGCTGATGCAGGAAAGCAGATGAATGTCAATCTCTGTGACACCTGGGCGCCAGATGGGGGCGTGCTCCACGTTGCCTAGTGTCCCGCCCTTCTCTCTGTCCCGATCACGGTCTCTCTCTCTCTCGCGTTCCCGTTCTCTTTCCCGATCCTTTTCCCGCTCTCTGTCTTGTTCTCTTTCCCGGTCCCGTTCTCGCTCCCTCTCCCGATCTCTTTCCCGATCACGCTCCGAAGAGGACAAGGACGTACTTTGCATTTTGTTTATGTGCGAGGGTCCAACTGAAAAGGAAAAAAAGTTAGACTGCAAAGCAGTAAAGAAGAACGCTGCTGATAGACGATATAGACGAAAGGCACCTGGGGAGATGGGCGAGGTGTTATAAGGTCTTCCTGGGAATGCGGCACTTGTCCCAGGGATGTAAGTGATGCGATCCATTGGGGAGCTGGCTGCCCCTGCCGGGGGAGGGACCATGACAGGTAAATGTGGCACCTGAGAAAGATCGATGATCCCTGGAGGGAAGAAGGAAGAAAACGAATGAGAATCACCCAACATCTGGTCCAGATGTGCTCTTCTAAATGACCACTAAACAACGATCACTCCACAAATATGGCATCATGTCAAAACAGAGGAGACCAGATGAATAACTATTATGAAACAAACAAAAGATCATCTGAGTTTTAAAACAACTTCAGAACAGATTCAGTCCTTCTGGTTTGAGGGTGAACAAACAACTGGTTCCAGCTCTAGAAATGCTCCTATCCTACAGAGTGATGGTCTAAGCTAAGAAAACAAAAATGTACGAGGACATCCAAATATGAACTTTTTTCTAACCAACCCTTGTAAAAGCCAGACAGTGGGAATGTGTTAATAACCAACTGTAGCTCAGATTTGGCTTCTTGCATCTGATCATAAAAAAAACATCAAGTGCCTTTGCAATCTGGGTCCAACAGTTACAAACAGAAGTAGATCTGTGCCTTCAGATCCCCGCTTTTAAAAAAACACCAAGTCAATGACTCGTGCAGAACAAACACCTCATGTTAGAAAATGTAATTCTGACTCCCTGTGCCAACTTTTACACAGCTGTACTTTCAGATTATGGACTAAAACATGTAAACATGTCTTACCCTGGCTCTAATTCAACTTTCTGTTAGCCTAAGCTAGCTGAAGCACAAAAGAAACGGTCATGAGTTTTACCGCGTGAGGCTACGGAGTAGGACAGGGGCAGCGTCTGGTCTCGCGGGGTCAGGCCTCTGAGCAGGTCTGAGCGCTGGGCGGCCATGGCAGCAGCTGCAGGCCACTGGTGCATCTGCTGCGATGTGATGTAGTCGTTGAAAAGAGTCTGGCGGTTCTCCAGTGCGGCCGTGTCAGGATAGCCACGGATGAGGTAGGGGTAATGGTGGGGATAGGCTGGATTAGGAGTTAGGTGGCGAGGCAGGTAGTAGGCTGCAGGGTATGAGGAGTAAAGCAACTCATTTACACTAAAACATTCAATAACAGCTCCAGCCTAAATGAACGTTAGTTATAACTCATCTATAAATTATCTCACAGTGTCAAACTGAAGCTTTAGTTTAACTAGACAGAACCAACAACCACCAACGCCGCAGCGAGCGTTCAGGCTTTGAGGCAAGCCCAGTATTAGACTCTGGATGTACCTGGGTCGATCGGGATGCCGCGGGGCAGAGCTGTAGGATCAAAAGCTATAGGGATGGGACGGTACATGTCGGGAGCTCCGAGGCCCTGCAGCAGACGCTCGTAGGTCTGTGGATCTGCCACACCTGGGAGGGGTGATTTGGTGGCACTCATCTCTCTGGGAGACGGGGTGGTTTTACGCTCCTGAGGAGGATTCTTTCCAGAACCTGGAGGTGAGAAGACAAGAACTTTCTGTACTTTGTAGGATGAGGGGTGAGGGGTTCACTTAGTTCTTTAATGGACAAATTCTATCCTAAACAGTGAATTAATTAAAAAAATCTGAAATCGTTTTTTATGATTCGGCAACACGTTTATTTTATTTTTCAATAAAACCTCAGTCTGGGCTGTGTGAGGTCAACTCACCCTCGTGCTGCCTTTGGCCTGCCTCCCTGGGCAGCGGAGAGCCGCGGAGCGAGGGTCCTGCGTAAGGAGTCCTCAGGCTGCTTTTGTCCTCGTAGTTCATGGGACTATGATGGGCTTTGACCCCCTGCTCCGACCCCAGGGTGAGTGGGGAAGAGCGGGTTATTGAGCTCGCCGTGCTGACCACCGCGCTGGGCCGACCTTTAGGCCCCTCCTCGTATCGACCCCTCTCAGAGCGCATTTCCAGGAGGGGGGCAGGGCTGTGGTAGGATCGTGGCGAGCTGGCTATAATGGAGCGGACATCATGGCGTTTCCCTGAACCAGCTGCGTCCTGCTTTACAGCGTTTCCAGAAGAGAGAGAGAGAGAGACAGAAATGAATCGACTAAGAAGGACTACTGGCTGGATAACCTCCATAAGTTGCATTATCAGGTGTGTACCGATGATATGATCGTGTCCTTGGTAGGCTGTCGGGGTTCATTGCTTGGAATGAGGTGGATGGAGCGTCTTCCCTCCTTCACAGTGGGCACGACGGTGTCTCTGCTTTTCAGTGGATCAGACAGAGAACTGACCCCGCGAGGTGGAGACGCCTCTCGCTTCATAAGCTTAGTGTCCCTCCTCAAGTAGCCATCCTGTGACTCTAGATGACGAGGTATGCCTGAAATGGAAAGGAAATAAGATTTATACAGGAATAAAAATTCCAACAACATCTGAAATTAACGACACATTTTGGGGCCTCCTACCTTGTGAGATGGAGCCTCGGATGTGATGAGCATCTTTGTAGGGTGTGTGGTGTGGACTGTCCCGGTCATGAGGCATGGCTCGACCAATCAGACCTGACACACAAGTTGATTGTCACATTTAAGACTTCAGTCAAAACATTTAAGTTAGTGTTTGTGCAAAATATCTAAAAGTACAAAATCAGGGGTCATTTATGGACCTGCCCATTAGGTCGGGTCCTTCCTCAACCACCAAGACACGAACAGAGCGGCTGTGAATCTAGCCTTTATTTTTGCTACCACCCACATCTGAACGTATGTCCTGTCACCTAGCAACCGTGAGGGCCCAAACAGAAGAGAAAACTTAGCAGTAACACATGAAGAAGTACGAGACTGCCATTTGGGTACTTTTGACAATAAATATATTAAAAACTCAAATAACCGCTTTGCCGTTAAACTCTTTTCTCACTCAGTCAGCCATTATTACATCTCTACTGGGATAACCTTCGACAATAAGGAATCAACAGCCCCATTCTTGAAATTCTCGAGAACACAATGTCTAATTAGGTCATGTCTTACCTTCACAGTTGGCTGCAGACAGAGAGTCCCTAATAGGCAGACCCCTGCTTCCCTCCATGACATCATAGGAGCGCTTTAGGCTCAACATTTCCCCCGACTGCCCTGAGCCTCGACCCTCATCTTTGGGGTTCTGAGACGGCTGACCTACATATGACAAAAACACGTTAAGGCTGAGAGAGCAACAGCTAACGTGAATGGTTTCGAAAATCCTTACTCGTACGGGTTACTAAACATCTTAAGAAGCTACTACGGCTGATGTACTCACGGTCGTATGTGAGGATGTGTCCACTGGTACCCTCGTAGACCACGTGTCCTTTAGCCAGAGCCTCATCCCTCTCAGCTCTGCTGGAACTGTCCTCTGTGATTAGACGTGTTATGGTTCCCTTAAGCAGCACATCAGCTGGTGTCCCCTGTTGCAATAATGAGAAAAGAAATCAGCCATGATCTTATAATCATGAAGAGGTCTGATCGGGACTGTGACTGGGTCACCGGAGATCACATCGCCACCTGCTGACTCCATTAACAAACCTTTTTACTGTCAAACTGGGCGATTGACATCCTTTAATGGGTTTGCTCGTTTATAGTGACGTTTTTTTTCCACTGAAACATAGTTTTTCATGTTCTGCTCTGAAATCCTCTGAAACACTCGTCTCTGCCTTCAAATTTAAATGTGTCTTATTAACAGAAAAACTACAGCCACCTGGGTTGCAGAGGGATGTGGAAACGCTCAGACCTTACTTTATCCATAATTTCATCTACGGCAGGATCTTAGATATAATAAAGATCTACCAATAAACATTCAGATAAAACACAGGTAAACAAACACTAATTAAACATAAAACTAACATTTTCTAAGTGATGAGTCATGTGACACAAACATGAACAGACAGAGCTGCTATAAAAGCAGAAAAGAGCTGCAACAGACACTTGAATTACCAAATAGTGAACAAAATGAGGTGAAAAAAAATTAGTTTTTGTTTTTTAATCAAGCGTTAATGTTTGAAAATAGAACTGTACAAACGGCTGTGGATGCAGCATCAGAGAGTATCCAGTAACTGGAAACAATGGAGACATTTTATGACACCTGTGTGTTTTTATCAGCTTGGAACTAAAATAGGAACTGAAACAGAATTTGAGTTGAACAATCCTATTTACAGGGACCTTCGACATTCTCTTTTGAAGGATGAATTTTTATTGGAGCCATAAGATAGAAAAGTAGAATTAAATTAGATGAGTCAAAGAAACCAGAACACAATATAAAGTCTGTATCTTTAGAGCCCCCAGTGCTGATTGGATGTTGCAGAAGTTGATAATGACAACAATCATAGCGTCTGTACACAAAGCAGCTGAGTAGTCAGGAGCACCTTTACTAGGGCTGTAGCGAAGCCTCGACGACGTCGACGGCTCGATTCTAAAAATTTGTCGACGTCAGATCCGGAAGTCGACGCACCACGCCCACTTGTTGCATCCCCAGGAGTTTGTAAATAGAGGAGGAATCTGCCTGTTTTTCCTCTAGTTCGCCCTCTTCTCCGCCTTCACTAACATCTCCGCCAAATACCGAAGACCCGGAACAATGTCCGTCCACTACTAGATTATTTTCCTGTGTTGCCCGCCTTCGTCTCCCGGCAACGGACAACAACTTCCGGGGTCAGATGCACTGCTTCGTCTCTACCGCAGATGTAGGACATCACCGGGAGCATTTCTCCCTTCATAAAGGAGCTTCTTTCAGACATTAGGAGAGCTGTTTTGGTGGTATCAGTCTCTCCTCCGTGCTGGTCTGTTTGCTGCTGGGTGTTTTTGTTTTATTTAAACTTGGTAACTTGAACTTAACGTTGGTAAAGCTACTGTTAGCATCTTCGCTAACAGCTTCTTGCGTTTGGATAAGCTGTTACGTTTTGGTTTAGAGTTCATCTTTTTTGTGGTGCAGATCTCCTTTTTATTACATTTAGAGTGTTGTGGGTTTTCGGTTTAGTGTAAAATATCACTTTGAGTTTGGTTTAACCACCCAGTTTAGAATTTGGACTTTTGGAGATCCTTATTTTGGTCCAGAACCCAGTAATCTTTGCCCAGTGGGACATCCCTAGTTATTTGTACTTTTGTTTTAATTCCCCAAAGACAGAATTAGTTTTATTATTCCCAACCTGTGGATGGAAAGATTTATGTTTTTTTGTTGTAAATAAACCTGATCATCATTTTAACTTTTAAATCCCGTTATTGTCCCTTCCTTTTTGCACACGAGCCAAACTCCCCAGGAAGGGTCGTAACACCACTCGTCTCACGCACATAAGTGACCAAAACAAAGCAGCATGGAGACACTCCATCTCCAACCACCTCTCAGGCAGCAGCCTGCTCTCCCTAGTTCTACACGTCACCAGAACATAACCAACCGCAACACAATAAAAGCAGTGTTATACAAAATGGAAGGCCTGTAGTGTTTATTCTCTTACAGTAAGAATTTATCAATTTTTTTGAGGAATTTATTTGAGATGTTCTGGTTTTTGTTAATTGTGCAATAGAAAAATAATCATTAGATTAATTTTCTAAATAGTCATTAGAATAGTCGACTATTCGATAAAATAATCGTCAGAATAATCGTTTTAAAAATAATCGTTTACCCCCAGCCCTAACCTTTACACACTGATATGATGTATAGGTGACAAACAGGATGTTAATTTTAGTAGTAAACTGTAAAACAGATATCCAGCACATTAAGAGAAGGAATAAAATAACTAAAAGACCTAGACCCATAAGAAGCAGCGCTGTAATCACCTGGGTGGCGGTAGATAACAGGAAGATTACTTCAAACCTCGAATCACTTCTACTGTGTGCATGAGTCAGACTTCCAGTGACTGGTTAAGAGGTGACTGCGTGAGTGAAGCTGAGAGAAAAAGAAATGGTGTAGCTGCACAGAGCATCTGCTAGCTGTAGTCTTTTATGAAAAGGATGAGCAAGGTGTGTTTACAAAATCAAAAGACAACGACTAAAGTCCTCCACAAATACTTAACAAAAATAACGCATCACTGCCACATCCAAATAACGTGCGCGTGCGCACACACACACACACACACACACACACACACACATCTAGATGCTAGTTAATAACAGGACAGATGACATTTGACCATCCATGTGTGTTTAGTGACCGACGGCCTTCCCTGCTCTCGTTTCCTCTCCTCTGCCAGTTGGATGTGAAATTAGAGCGGGCATATCAGTGACTGACTTTAGCCAGCATCTAAAGTACTCAGATAAATAAAAGAGGGAACAGATGCGGTACAGTGTGTACTTGTTGCTACGACAACAGAGCCATTCAGAGCTGCGGTTATGTCACACAGCCACAGAAATCTAGCAGCTGCAGGCAGCGCTTCGTTTGCCTCCTGACCTCTCACCAGCTCTGCTGCTCCTATGGGTGAACACTCGTATGCAAACAAGCGGTTACATTTGAGTGCTTGGTGTTGTGTGTTCAGGGGCCAAAGACTGCATCGGGTTTTGGGAGACTAGAGTAAACCATTAGAAAGTGTGGGGGAGTTTTAGCCCAGTTTGAACCTTAACACAGTTTTCAGTGTTGGTTTCAGTTCAGCATCAGTCAGCGGGTTTGTGGTGAATCACATTAACCTTCCTCTACTGCAACTCAATGACAGACATAGGAGAAAACATTGTCTAGAGCTAACGGGACCTGTAGAGAGTACCTTAGGTGCACGTTTGAAGGAATTTCAAGCATTAGAGAGGTTTTTAAGACTAAGAGAAAAGAGGAAGTGACGAGTTTACCAGCGGTCTGTTTTTAACACACACTACTCATATTTGTCAGCCGTCAGCAGAATAGCTGTAATGCTTCAGGCTTCACCACTCACTACAGCATCAGACACCATCAAGCTAAAAGCGTCTTAGAGAGACAAATTAACAACTCCAACACATTGTGAGTCTCACAGGTTCAACACAGAAGACTCTTTATGTCCATAGATGGAGTCTAAATGCAAACAGGAGTCACTATGCTGAACTCACCTGTGTAATGGAGCCCCCTCGGTAAGGAATAGCTGAGTCAGGATGGATTCTAGTCCCTGGGATGCCTTTAGTGATGCTACCTCCCTGGACGCCTAGAAACATAAAAGAAATAATAAAGAAAACAATCCCAGACATAAAAAGAAACATCAAAACTGTAGTATAAACCCTTTAAGGTGTGGTCAACTTGTTTAATCAATACATTTGCAGTGGCTTCTAGTAGGAATGAATGCTTTGTGACTTGTATTCTGGGTTCAAAAAGCCCTAGTGTGCCTGTTTCAGGAACTAGAAGTGAGCCAGATCAGAGGAGTGCTTCAGACGGCAGGATTTGGACTCTTATTTCCTGATATTTGGACATCTCACTTCTGACTGGATAACAGCAACACAACTCTACCAATGACTCTGTTTGCTCTGCAACGTGGATGTTTTATCTCCACGGATAACACAAGCTTGGAGGAGCTTCTGCCATGTGGTGGAGTCGCTAATGCTAATGGTTAGCTTCTACTGGTTGAAACATTCACTGCTGTTTCCTGGACGTTAAACTAACAACAGCCTTCCCCTTCACGAGTCAAAATGGGTGAGTTCATGAATATTAAGTGACAGTGTGACGTAGATCTGTCAGGCTTTCCTAATCCTAGAGTTTTGCTGTCTATTTTCTCTCAGAAGCTAATGCAGGAGATAGTTGTAGGAGACTATTTTCATGTTCAGCCTGCATGAAAAACTCAAGAGTGACTGATTATAATCAGAAATAATCATAAAAAATAGTGTTTTCTTTCAGTGTTCCACACCTTTGTGTTCTCTAAGAGCTCACACATAGATTTTAGTTTCACATCCTCTAAAGCCCTGTCAGATTAGACTAATAAACTAAAGTCACTTCTGATTTAGGCTGAAATTTAGGTTTAGCTTGATCCACTCAGAAACCACCAGGGTACTAAAAAAATACTTTTTTTTATTTCAAAGAAAACTGAAAAAGAAAAGTGATTGAATTGTATTAACCCATGGGGTAAGGGATCGTAACTGGGAGAAAATAGAATAACAAATATAATAAATTAAGAATTGTGAATTGAGACAGAATACAGATGACTTAACGTAGCTCCAAAGCAACTAAACAGATTGCTGAACTGAGGTAATAAGAGAAACCTCTGAAGCATTTACCACGTCCAGATGAACCATCATGAGCTGCTCCCTGGGATGACAGATTATCAGCCTGGGAGGAGGAACTGTGAGGGGACAACTGCTCCCGCTTTACCACCGGGAAACTTCCTGCTGAGCAGCAGAGACAATGAGACAGACGGGTCCCAGATCAGATGATGACATCACAGTTCAGATGAATGTTAAATGATTTAGGAAAAACTACTGATGGTCTGAGACAGTTTTACTCACCCCCTTTCTTCTCCATCCAAGATAACCCCATGGATGTGGGGGGCATCTTGGTGTGGTCCAACCCATGAGCCGGACTGTGCAACTGCACAGGGGTACCCTGAAAAACACACATGCCCTCTGGATGATTAAACAGCGGAAGTTATACAAATAAAACTCCTGCTACTAAACATGACTAAAAGACAAAAAGATAAGAGACTTAAACTGTTTATCTACAATAAAACAACCCATCTCCACTGCCTGACCTGTGTGATGGAGCCTCCTGGCTTGCTGGAAGAAATGAGTGGCGGAGGCTCAGGCATGGTCAGGGGCCTCACTGCTGCTAACCTCACACTATCCTGGGGTAGGCCGGAGAGTGAGGGGTGGCCGGCAGGCTGGAACGCTGGAAGACAAAGGCGTTGTGAATAATTTAGGAACGATTAGAAAGAGTAGAGCAGACAGAAAGGATTACTCACGGCTGAAGTTGAGCAGGTGCTGGTCGTGGCTGATCTTGGCCATGTCTCGTGAGGACATGGGGTATGGAGAGAGACCTGGGTGAACCAGGTTTGAGGCCCTCGGGTCATCAGGGCCCAGTGTCTGCTTCTTGAGGTCACCGTGTGGAGAAAATGATCTAGACTTTTCTGTAAAATCCAATACATGGAAGCAGTCAGAACCAAGTTGATGCTAGATGTTAGATCCCAGAAGCCATTTGTGTAAACTGCTGCTGCACCACTGAAATGACCTTTTTACTGAATGTCTTTAGACATAAGGAAGTCCTCGTCGCCTTACAGCTCTAGTGGAAACCAAATATGAGACAGAATCCTCTCAGAATCTCTACAGTGTGTGCAGACGCACCCCCTACACACAAAACACCAACATCATGCCCAAGTACTATAATTTCAGTGTTAAGAGTTTTGCTGTTTTTTTTTCTTCCATTTTTCTTGTAGGAAACTTGAGTTAACTGCTGCTGTTGGTCAGGAAGAACACCTCTCTTCATCTGGACTGCACATTCACCTTCCACGAGCTCACCCTAAGTCCACTGAACTAGACTCTGCTCCCTTCTGGGTCAACGGCAATACCAGGACATTTATCAGCTCCCTCGCTGCGAGTGTCCCAGAAACACTGCAAGCACTAAACCCCAGAGATGAGACTCAAGGTCAGAGCTGGCAGGAAAGACCTACTAAGTAAAACTAGATCAGGCGGTTCTAAAACTGCATGCTGGGGGATTCAGCTTGCTAATCATATCACCCTTCTCTTATCTGGTATTAGGAAATCCATTTCACAAAGACTGAACCATGCAGACAAATGTGGTTGTGTCCATTGGGAATCTGAGGAATATGCTGAATGGAAGATTAATTTATGGAGACGATCACCTGCATTTGAAACTTGACCAGCTGAATGAGTCTGTAAGATAAGAGCATACCATCTTTTTCGCTGATGGAGGGGCTACGGGAGCGAATGTGGGGGCTGGTGCTGATAAGAGCCTCCCGGTCTCTGTTGGCCTGAGGGGTATAAGGCTGCTGTTTGCCCGGCTGGCCTAAGAGCTGCTGATGTTTGACTTCCTGGGAGGACTCCCCATGAGCCATGGTGATCTGTTCCTGGTACAACGCCAGGGCATGGTGGGGCTGCACGGCCTTCCCACTCCCGCCCCGCTGACTGCCCTGCACAGAGGCCTCTGGTGTCTACACAGATGAAAGGGGGAAAAGAGGGTTACATACATGCAACACATAAAACAAACCCATCTCTATGAGGAGTTGACATATGGTTAGCCACATGCACTATCTGATCAACACGATAGAAACTACACAGCTCTTCTTTCTTGCTAAGCTAACGTTTCACTAATCCCTAGCGTCTCATTTTTTCTTCCTCCATCATCATCCTCCATCTGGTTACCTTAAACAAATATGACTTCACAGTTTTATCTGCTGAACTGCTCCTTATGTAAGCAGAGAGATGGGGACAGCATGGATGACTATGGCAAAAGAAAAGTGGGGATGTGTTGCTGTTTGGAGTGTTTATTTTTTACACTAAACAGTGTGAAAGACCATTTCTGAAGCTAAAATTCAAAATTCCCTTAGAAAACAAAACATCCAAAAAGATCCTTAAGAAAAACTCACAATAGGTGGTATGGTGGCAGCTCTTTGCTTGAGCCGCTTTAGATCAAAGGGCTTCTGCATGGCAGATGAAATGACCCCATCATGAGAGTAGTTCAGTAGGCTCGGCCTCGGAGAAGACATTCTGCAAACACACAGAAACATCTCAGTGGAAGCATTTCCTGTTTACTGCCTTTGCAAACCAAAGGGGTACCTCGTCATTTAAAACAAGGAGATTTAGATTGTTTCTCTGACTCCCTGAAACCAAACCGGACAATAAAAGTGGGAAGAGAAGAAGTCCAGTCAGTGATAAAACCCCGCAGAACCTTCTAAGTGATAAACAATCAGAACAAGAGGCAGTCTAAAATGTTCAGAAGCAACCTGGTGTTGAAAAAGAGGAGTTATTTTCATCACCACTCTGGTAACCGTGTGCTAGGCTAGCTAATATTAAATCATTAGCTAAGTCATCAATGGATGATGTCATCACCACTACAGCTAAAGCAACTACAAACATGAGACGAAAACCCTTCAGGGCTACGATTTGTTATATGTGGATAAAATGACTGTAATAAAACATTATTATACAGACTAGCACTAACCCACGGGTCTCCGAAATAAGAAAAAAGTGAACGCACGTCAATCTATAAAAGCTATTTCTAATATCATTTGTTACGTGTCATGGAGCTCACATATGATGTCCGTGGATTTTAAGGACACATTTTGATGGCAAGAAAGCGCTTTTTTAAAACAGCGGCAAAAGTTATTTTAGACGTAAAGGACTACAAATGTTCGCCTCATCGAGCCAGACACGGAGAAGAGGAGAAGTTTAGTTTAGCGAGCTGCAAATCCTACTTCCAGGATGACAGAAGGAGCATTAAAAGTGGGGAAAACCAGAAGAGATGCTGCAGTAACGTCATATATGCAATGTCTGACTTGTAGTCATTTTGTTTACAAATTTTTATGAGCTAACAAATCTCAAAGTATATGACAAACATGTTGAAAACACATTTTATTTTCATTTAAATTCAAGTACAATATATGTGTTTCAGGGCCAAGTGGATAGGAAATAGCTTTTTCAGTTCCATTAACTCCCAATTAGTAATGCACCAATATGAAAATTTTGGACCGATACCCAAATCCGATATGAAGATCACTGTTATGGCCGATAACCGATATTTGCTGATACTGATAGACTGACATTAATGCTTCTAAAAGCAGCAGATTTTGTATAGAATGAAAATTATTAAAGCTGAATTTACATGGTTATGTGTACACACACACACACACACACACACACACACACACACACACACACACTTACGATTCTGAGATGATTACAATCACTGTCACATGACTAAAGAAATACACACCACGCCCCTTACTCTCTGAAACTGGTAAACAAAAAGAAACAAGATGGAAAAAATATTGCTTGTTACCATCGGCCCAGTTTTATATATTGGGCCGATACCAATATGTTAAGAAATGAATGACATCTGCCGATAGCGATATTGATGCAGATATATTGTGCATCCCTACTTCCAATAATTTTTCTTTGTTCCTGAGACCCCTGAACTGACCAGAAGAGAAAACGTAAGCTCACTATTCTGTAATGGGAGGAAAATTAAGTCAGGTTTGGAGTTTGGGATTGTGCTAATTGTGTTTATGTCACTGATTTCTTTGTTCTTTAATTCATTCAAAGCCAACATATAGCACAAAAAAGCCATTTTATAGTCAAACTGTAGAGGAAAGCAGACGTGTGCGTGTGTGTGTGTGTGTGTGTGTGTGTGTGTGTGCGTGTGTGCGTGTGTGTGTGTATGTGTGTGTGTGTGTGTGTGTGTGTGTGTGTGTGTGTGTGCGTGTGTGTGTGCGTGTGTGTGTGTGTGTGTGTGTGTGTGTGTGTGTGTGTGTGTGTGTGTGTGTGTGTGTATGTGTGTGTGTGTGTGTGTGTGTGTGTGTAAGAACTTGAAGCTGTGGTGAAGAATAACAAGCAAAGAACGAACAATGTTGTGCCTCAGGTCTACTAAAAACACACAGCATACATTCATTCAAAGACACTTTGGTGCATGTTGCACAAGAATATGTAGGCGCACACATGCACACACACATGCATACACACATGCGCATAAGCACACATACACACATGCACTTTATACACACTCCTCCCCTCCAATTGTTTGCTTTGGCACAGAGGGCAACATTTCCCTCCGCTCTGCCAGTACATGCAGTCTGCTGTCATGGAAAAAAAATTGAACAAACAGCGTGCTAACAGGACTAATCACTCCTCCCACGCACTTTGACACCCATTTGTTCTGGCCTCATTCACACACACACACACACACACACACACACACACACACACACACACACACACACACACACACACACACACACACGCACGTGCACACACACACGCACGTGCACACACACACACACCCGCACACACACTCACAAAACATACACTAATGGTAAATATATGTTTCATTCATACAGAAAAAAGAAAATCCCTGCTCGATAGAAAGAGCAATCTGTGGCGTGCACACGCTCGCACACGGACATGCGCGCGCACACACACACACACACACACACAAGTGGTTTGACAAATATGGCTCCACTGCTGTACAGTGTAGCTAGGCAACTAATACCACTTCAAAACCCTCCCAGCTTTGTTTCCTACTGTTTGCTGTGGTAGACCAGAGAAGTAGGACAACAAAAAGGAAACTCAAAAAGCAAAAAGCCCTTTGACACAAATAATCAGCGAGGCCAAATTACGTCAGCAGTGAAAATCTGCAGAAGAGACTGGAACAGTCTTAAATCACTCAAGCTGCTACTTCTAACAGGGACATTTACCTGTTTTTGTCTGTGTTGTCAGTCTCCTCCACTTCGTCTGCGCTGCACGTGGCACTAGAGTCGCTGTCCCCATGAGAACCTGTTTTGGTTGCATGCTCCTTCTTGGAGGTCTTGGTGCAGCTTTTAATGTCTTCTTTCTCTTCTGCTGGAGGTTTTTTATCTGCAGCATCGCTGGGCGACACCGACTGCTCCTTGTTGGGCTCTCCTGCCTCAGTCTTTGTCTCAGTCTTAACAGCTGAATCCACCTCCTCCTTGACAGGAGGCTTCTCGTTCTCTGCCTGACCCATGTCTGACTGGGCCTCCTCCTTCACCCCGGCGTTGGAGCTGCTCTTAGACCTGCTTGAGCCTTCTTCTTTGGCCTTGCTGTCCTCAGACGAGTGTGGCGAGGGCAAGCTGTCTGTGTCGGAGCTGTGGTTGGCTCCACCTGGTAGAGACACGAGATAGGAGAGACACTGATCAGGTCTTGTACTGTAAATCATTTCATGTCCTTTTTACTCCACAAACTCCATCTGCTAGACCAGATTATTCACAGTGCCAGCCTGTTGACTAATCAGGTTTCAGCCTGCAATAAGGGGGAACATAAAACCAATTGGGATGATGAATGTAATCTCCAGAGGATTCAATGGTCAACTGTGGAATACAGCATATGCAGAATGTCTATGTAAACAAACTAGCGGGCTTTCCATCCCACCTTTAGTCTAGCTGCAGATTCCACTCTCCAACACAAAGTTCATCTAACGAAGCTAAAGTTAGCAGCTTATACACGGACATCTATGGATGGACGTAACTAATCCCTTTATTGGGTCAAAGGTTTAACTACGCTGAGCTGATTGAATCTTTTAACTTGCTATTTCAAGACAATAATATAAGGATAATAGGAATTATTTGAGCCTGATTTGGTTGCCAGGATGGGGTTTCCTGGTATTTTCTGAAGTGTTTTTTTAAGTTTTGTGGGTCCATCTTTTAAAAATCAGTTAAACATTAATGTTGAAAAGACGACCTGTGGGATAGGTTAAAGAAAGTTGGGTTCCTGGGACTGACTTACCTTCTCCATCCTCAGGGGCTTCCTCTTCATTACAGCTGGCTCCTGATCCCTCCATCTCCTCCTCCTCTGCAGCGTATGCAGCACTGGCCTCCTCATTCTGGGAGGTTTTTCCCCTTCGACGGGCCTTTCGTTCCTTTTCCTGGGTCAGAACAAGCACATTCTTAATAAAATAAACCACAGTGATCGTCACATTCCAAAGAAAACTAGAAACAATCTTCCAGCACAATGTCGTAGAAGACATTTAAATCATTTTTATTTAAATTAGCATCAGCAGGCAGAGCTCCAACTGCTTACAGATTTCATTTTATGCTGCTGCAGGATCTCGTCCAGTTTCTGTCTCTTCTTGTAGTTGAAGTAAAAGTTTTTGCACTGTGACACGGTTTTGGATCCCACCATCTTGGCGATGGCGGACCAATTCCTACCATACTGGAGAAGGCCTGGAAATAGGAAGTGGACAGGTGGAAGGGTTAGGCGTCGGCAGGAATAAACCAGACACAGATGAACAGAACTGCAGTCTGAGAGTTCAACTTGCTGCAAAGACTGAATTTTGCATCATAAACTGTTGAAATGATGGAGGGATCTCCATCATCTCACTATACAGATGTCAGATATGCAGCGCAGCCTGTTAGCTGTGTGTGACGAGGCCATCCTCCCAGCAGCAGAGTGACCTTAAACTGCCTTCACACAGACAAAGAACAGGAGCAGAAAAAACCAGAGGAATGATGCAGTAGGTGGACCGTCAGTCATACAAATGACATCACTGACTCCCACCCTCTGGGGGTCACTCTGTGTCATATTCTAACTGAATCTGATGTGACCCAGTTCCAAGAAACCCAAGCCCTTTACCCAGCCAAGCACATGATTGTGTCTTACACAAGAGTCAACAGGCACCCGCTGGGCCAGAGCTGTGATAGATCAACCTGTCATGAAACACACACACACACACACACACACACACACACACACACACACACACACACACACACACACATGCAGAGTGTGTGCATGCTAACAGAAGAGATGTAAAGCGGTAGTGAGAAAGCAAAAATGCCCCCCTCGTGGAGTCTGCTGTTAGCCAAAGGCAGCTCATTTACCAGTGTGTGTTGTAAGAGGCTTAGTCTACACCACCCACTTGTTTCCTGTGCCAGCCTGACAGGTCCTGGCAACAGGACAGCTTCTTGAAAGGTTGTTTGGGGGGATGGGGGGGATGGTTGTGGGAAGTGTTATTAACAGGCACAGAGCCAACATGTCTTGGGATAACCTTGGACACGAGTTCAGAGGTCTCTGCATCTCATTGCTTAATGGAAGTTGTAAGATGAGGAGAACTCCGAGCTTCGGGGGGACAGCTGTTTGCAGCTCAACGATTTAATATTTATCTCTAAAGCTCGGCGATTGTGGAGGTTATTACAAGCTGCACCAATAAAAGGTTTAATTTCTGCAACACAGCTCAAAATTTGTTTCTTTTTCTTCCCATCTATACAGATACTCATATTTGAGACAACAAGACATAAAACTATCTGCCATAATGATGATGAATTCATAAAACAGCATACGCCAACACTCGTCCAAACAGCAACAAAGAAAAACATTTACAGAAACTAGCAAAAACAACATCATTCACTGTCATCATTTAAATAATGCTGGAATAACGAGCTGCCAAAACAAGTGTGTTGCTCTAAACATCTGAGCTTCAGATGATGCACACCTATGACCAATTAAATGTTCAGATGGAAGAAGGTTTTCTCTCTGAAGCTGAAATAATCACTGGTGCCAGAACAAGCGTCGGTAGAAAAGCCTGTCCAGGAAGGAAACTCCCTCAGAGATGACACACGCAAGCACCTATCAACAGGAGACACACACTCCCTAACTTGACTAACCATACCTGTTCACTAAATCACACTCAGATTTAAACACACAAGCCTTGCAGCATGCTGTGCAGCTCAAGTCTAACCACACAAGTCATTAACCGAAAGTCAAAGGTCACTTTGTTATAAAACCTAGCAGCCAACCGTTTATTCCATCATGTGCAAACTAATAAAGGCTTGGTCCCAAGCTGGTGGACTCAGGGAGTTAGTAGCTGGAGAAATACACATGGGGCAATCATCCAATAAGCAGCAGCCATACTGAAACGGGTGGTAACTTCACACCCAATCACAACACTGCACTCCCAATAGCTCCTCCCAGAGAAAGTCCAATCAACACCTGGCGCAGCCTGAAAGTTGTTGTTCCTGTCTGTCACATGCCTGTCACTTCAGCCGTCGTTTTGTGGCCCTGCTCCGGATAACGCTATCACTCCGTCTGATCTCTAGAGGGCCAGCCAGGAAGCTCTTCTGGGCCGGGCCTTCCGATCCGGAGCAGAGGAGGTGAAAACAGCCCAGTCTTGGCGCTCTTCCTGCCAGCTGACTTGATACTTGAACTGGTGTTAGGTTGACATACTCCAAAGCGGCACATGCTCCAGGCCTCTCCCCTCCTTTCCCTTTCACCGTGTCCTTCCTGCGCTTCGGTAAGTGCTGGTGTGTTCTCCGACGCGTCTCTCCCCAATGGCGGTCGTCTGAGAAGACTTCCACAGGAAAGTGGGACTGTGGGGCGGCGCTATGTGCTCAGCCTTTCTCTCCCTCATCTGATCTCTCTTCTATCTTTTTTTCTCCTCCCTCCCTTTTTCCGTCAGTCTGTCCCTCCCCCTGCCTGACTCTGCCAGCAGGCACAGCGGCACGCACGCACACACACACACACACACACATATGCATGAGTGAGTACAAACTCGCTGGAACCCCCCCTCTCTGTCTCTCTTGTTAATACTCTTGCACACAGACACAAACACACATTCAAGCAGTCCAAGAGTAAACAGAGAGCAGCGAGGGAGAGGACAGAGATAGAGAAAGAGCATGGCCACCGAGCCAGAGAGACAATGGAGAAAGGGAAAGGGAAGGATTCAGAAGTAGAGAGCAAGCACCGAGAGCAGAGAGGGAGTTGATGTTGATATCATGAGAAAGCATAAAGGCTTTCACATTTTTCCTGACTGACCTGCTTTTCATCTTGAATGTGACCTCTCCGGTTTATAACAACACAGAGTGAGGGGGAGAGAAAGTGGCTGGGGAAAATGAGGCGTTTGCCAAATCTTCCACAGCTCCTGCCAATATGGGCCGTCGCCATCTCCCGACCCTGAGACAGGAGCGAGAGGTGGAGCAACAGCAGAGGAGATAATACAGCAGCCTCTACCTGCTGCTCCTTTAAATGGGCTCCTCCTGCAAACAGTGCAGGGACCATTATCCAGCTGCCTGGCTGCACCCGAGCAAAGCCTGGCAGATTAGTGCACTTACATAAACCCTCGCCAAAAAGTACAGCACATGCAACCAAACAGCACGGACACGATGCACACAAGCGCCTCCTTTACAGCACATTCTGGACATGTACACACACACGCACGCACGCACGCACGCACTCACACACACACACACACACACACACACACACACACACACACACACACACACACACACACACACACACACACACACACACACACACACACACACACACACACACACACACACACACACACACACACAGTGGGGGATGCACACAAGTTAAACACTGAAGCTTCCAAAGTCTGGCCGTCTGCTGTCGGAGTGCAGCGGCCTCATCGATGCTAGGGTGCTGATGTCCTGCCAAGTGCTATAATGCCATTATTCAGATCTGGTTGGCTCAAGGGATAAATACAATACCATCAGAACACTGGAGCCTCCTTAAAACATCTACATATGGAGCACATGTCATTAAGATCACCTGAACAAGCTGAGGGGTTGTTTTGGACAGAGAGTGGAGCGTGTGGTGAACGGGTGAAAACACAGAGCAGCCTCCTCCTTCAGCCTGACTGGATTGAAGCAGCAGTTCTGTTTTTATGGTTACATAAGCCTTCATAGAAACCCTGCTTCGGCTGGGCTGGCAGGCTAATCCTCTGCGATGGAGTGCCCCACTAATCCCGCGGCAGGAGAAAGGAACTGAAGACATTAACCGGAGAAAGGAACTGAAGACATTAACCAGGATTACTACACAGGACCGTGTTCTAGCGAGGCCACGGCCAGTTATCGCAACATAACCTCCTCTCACACACACGAAAATGTCTGCTTATGCAAAACCTTTAAGTAGAACACACTAAACAAAGTAGAGGAACATGGCTTGCAAAGGGCAGGACATATAGAGCCACAGACCTGGTGACACAGTGTTCACAAAATGCTGCTTCCTGCAGTGAAGATGTGCCAATATTCAGAATTTTGTTCTTGACATCACGATAACGATACATTTAATAACAGATGAGATAAACGGGGGAACAATCAGACGTGTAGTGTGCAGAAGAAATGTCCACATGTGAGGATTCATTCAATCAGTAACTGGGGCTAATGCACCACAGGTAACCAGATAAAACCCAGTCATGCTGCTGCTGCTGCTGCTGCTGCTAGGAAAACAGGCAGAATGTCAGTGACCTCAACAAATCAGCCATAGACCTCTGGGTAATCTTCAGTCAGAGACAATAAACAGCCTGAGTTAATGACTGCTGCATTTGCAGGGCTGGCTGATAAGAGGCAGACTTTACGACCTCTTTGATAGAGGACAAGCTGCCTTGACCCACAGAGACGAGGAAACGGCTCCAAAGAGCAACAAATACCTTCCAGGCAGACTAAAAAATGCATGCAGAGACACAACCCAGCAGCACGTGGTGGCTGCCGCCTCACTAACAGGAAGTTACACCCGCATCAGTTCCTTTTGTATTCAAACAGCGCCTACGCTGCTAATGTTCTTTAATTTCATAACTGTGCTGCTCATTCAATGAACCAAAGCTACTTCACTCACACACACAAAGTTCACTTAGCTTTACCTTTCTTGGCAGTTTCCATCTCTTCTTCAGTCCAGCGAGAGCTCTCATTCATTTCCAGATTGACTGTCAAAAAAATAGAGAACCACCAAGTTAGAGAAGGTAGGAGGAGGCGGGGGAGTGGGCAGCTGTCACAAAGTCAGTTAGGGAGTGACTGACAGAAAGAAAGGAGGGGAGACATAAATTGAAGAAGAAAAATACATAAAAGAGTTGGGGGCAGGGCGGCTTGTGCTGTTTGCCGGTGAAGTACTGCAGCACGGGTTGCTAAGGACTGTTTGTTGGAGGAAGAAGGAAATCCAAGGAGAGAAGTCAGTTAATGATTATAGACTTAACAACTGGCTTCTGTCCCTGCACAGGGACACAATGGAGCAGGAGCACTGATGTGTCCTCTATAGGACCTGTGAAGGGCACAGGGGGACGGTTAGCAAGTCTACCAGCTGGAGAACAAACGGTGGCGGGGTGGGACTGCTGGGCCCCTACAGCCCCCGTCACCTGGGGATTCCCTGTGTCGCAGGAACAAATGTAGTGTGCACACACAACTGCTGACGCATCAAAGTCCTATCCTGGCTTAAAGCAGGAATGTTCATGTAGACATGGCTGAATTACCATCAAAGGAAAAAGGAAAAGGAGACCCAAGAAAAGGAACACTGCCACCAGTGAAAACCAGTCCGTAAGTAATACCGGCGTGTTTTACTTCTCCTCTCTGACTCCACTCTAAGAGATGAAGTCTAAACGCAGAGCTTTACTCCTATCATGTAATTTATGTGTGTAAATAAAGGTAGTGAACGCAGGACGAGTGGTGCAGACAGGAATGAGGACAAAGGAACAACAGTACACTCTTGTGGTGAGGGACAGGAGGCTACTGTTCCACCAAAAGGGACCAAAGGTACACATCCCAGTGTTTCCCCTAGGAATTTTTCCAGCTGTGGTGGTGGGTGGGTGGGTGGGGGTGGTGGTGGTGGTGGGGGGGGGTTATGACACGTCTCACCTTTATGTTAATATTGTTTTATTTGATGCACTCAGCTTTGAACTGCACTAATCCAGCAACTGCTGCATTTTAATAACTAGTATTAAAGGTGAATACACCAATATTTGCACAAGAATAATTTTTGTTTTAAACTCTCAGTGACACACTTTGCAGGGGGGATTTGGCATTTAATTTTCTTGGCGTCTGGAAAAACATCACTTTTTGCCCCCCTTTATTTGACTTTCTGCCCCCTTTATTTTGGTCCAAGATCATTACTGGGCTGGCCCTATTAAACACGTTCTACACCCCTGCTTAGTAGACTTAATGAAGTATTTTTAAGCCAGAATAAAAATGACTGAAACACAAATTTACATATTTGGCATTATTGACCAATATCTTTGATTTAATGTACTTGTTAAGAATATCAAGATGCATTACAGTGAACATTATAATAAAGTACATTTTTCTAGTGCAGAGAGGAGAGACAACCCATAGAAGCACTGATTTGATCTCATTTCAGAGAAAAATAGAACAGGTCAGATGCATCTAATAAATAATATTACTAACAAACGCAGGAATCTGTTTCTTTGCTTCATTGTTCTGGTGCTGAAAATATCACTAATGCGGATCAAAGGAGATACACAGATGAACACACCTTATTATTTGGGAATTAGTGGGCGTGGTTTACATCAATAGGGCTGCAACAACGAATTGATAAAATCGATTATTAAAAGCGTTGGCAACGAATTGCGTCATCGATTCGTTGTGTTGTGTCCGACCGGAGCGGAGGCAGTGACCGACGCATGCATGAGCCGTTTTCAGTTCCGTCTTGTCAAATGCACCACGTACGTTACGAAAAAAGTAACTTTAAATATTAAACCAAAAGAGGCGAGCTGAAGAAAACCTAGGGAGTACTGAAGAAACGTGAGCAACAGTGAAGCAATCATAGAGAGATCCGTTACTGTGTGTGTGTGTGTGTGTGTGTGTGTGTGTGTGTGTGTGTGTGTGTGTGTGTGTGTGTGTGTGTGTGTGTGTGTGTGTGTGTGTGTGTGCGTGCGTGGGCCGGAGCGGTTTTGTGTGTAGGGAGGGGCAGGCACTCCATGTGACTGGCCAATCACAGAGCGTGAAGGCAGACAGTTACCCAATGAGGATTTTTCTTCAGCACGATTACAGATATTTACGCCTATGTAAGGGAAACACTGCATCCTCCTAGGTTATCAGTTCATTTCTCTGGTCAAATGCAAAGAAGGAAAATGCTTTTATTTGTTAGCCATTTTCTAATGTTACCAAGTAGCTTTATATTAAAGCAGGTTCTCACAGAGCTTTTTTATACACACACATCTAAAATCGACCCACATAAACTGGTAGCCTTTATCCTAGTTTACATATATGTTAGGAATTGTGCGTTCCACTCTGCTATGGTAGGGGGCGACATGCATCCTTTCATGTCTCTTCTGGTTACCTATAGCGACACACAAAGAGTAAAAAAAAAAAAAACACTGGTGGGAATGAAGCAGATGAAGTAAAAACAGGATATGCAAAATTGCCGAAGTAATGGACAACAACGCTGTAGCACAGCTTATTTGGTATGTGCTGTTTGTGTTAAGTCCGGGCCAGACAGAGCGTTTTCCCGCCATCCTAGACAAATCTCTCATCGTGAACAGAATCGTGACAAAAATGGTGAACGCAGTGTTTCCCCTACATAGCGCCACGACTACAATATCTAAACTACTTTTGTGAAGTTTGCCAACACCAGCTTTTTTGTTAGAAAAACAAAAACACACCCTGGCTAACCCGATGTTTATGGAGTGTTGTGCTAAATTTAGGACAGACAGGTGATATGGACGAAACAGATCGGTCTCACACTAACCAAGCTCGTTGTTGAGCGGTGGTGTGGTGGTCTCCTCTCCTTCACTGGTCATAGAGCGGGTAACACGGCCTTTACGGCGGCCCTGGCTGTTAGCGGTGCGTCTCCCCTTGACAGCCACTGCAGGCTCTTTGTCCTCTGCATCCTCTCCAGAAGTATCATCCCTGTATTTAAGGAAAGTCATCACAATTAGCAGAAAAATAAAGAAAACTGCAGCTAATAAAGTGTGCATTTGCCTGTGATGTTAGCAAACACCTCATAAACCACTAAATGGATTTTAATGGAACTCTTAGAAGGTCTTAACTGCATGAACATCTACAACTGATTACATCCGAGTCAACCCCATTCAATATGGCCGCCACAGCTAATCTACTGCAGCAAATACAAAAACGGATACAACTTTATCAGTTCAGAGCTAAAACGACATGTGGAAGATGCTCTGAATCATTCACCACACAAACCAAGTGTCAACAGATTATGTGGATGGGGTTGTGTGTGAGATTACACACATCTAGAAAATGGTCAATAGTTTAGGTCAACTTTCTGACTCTGAATTTACTGTTTTCTCATCTGTGAGACATGATCTTCAAAAATGAAAAGAAATAGAGGATTGAAATATTTCACAGTGTAAGGAATATATATAGTATAGGCTTCACTATATGAAGTCAATGACCAATTATATTTTTAGGATATCCTAATGTTTCGAGATAATCCTTTATCTATTCTTGACATAAAAACATCTTAGTTTTCAACTCAGACTCGAAATATTTCAGTTATGTGCTTTCCCGAGGATTACTAGTGCTTAATCTTCAGGTTATGCATAATAAATAAATATTGCTGCACAATATGTCAAGAAAGTATCACTATTGCAATGGCATCCTAAAAACAACCGCTGACCTTAACTGCATGCAGAAAATACATGTATTTGGCATTCAGATGGACTCCTACTACAGATATTTTGACTACTGAGTGTCAAAATATGGATAATATCCACAAACTATCTCACAAGTTAACTTTTTTTGCTCATAAACTGAGAAAAAAAATCAAACAATAATCAATGATTTTTAATATGAATGGATTACTTTAGCCCTTTGCTAACATGCTAATTGACCTAGTGTCATGTGCACCAGGCATAATGAAGATCTGGGCCCTCATTCATTCATCAAACGTTCATAGAAACTGTCCAAAGTTCCATCCTACAAATGAAATTTAGAATGTTCGTATGAATGGCCAAAATTCTGATTTAAGAAACAAGTCAGGACCACTCATACGCACATTCCTCCACAGCCGATTGTTGAGAAATCTCACCTGTACATACCTTGGAGCTTGTGTCCGTTCACAGTCATTTACATACTGTTAGCGGCTGAATTGCTGATTTGCGATCATGTGATCAGATCGGAGCGTCCCTGAATGTAATTATTAGTAAATGCCCAAGCCAAATATAACTATGGGTAAGTAACCATAACCCTCACATGCTTGGTGCTGATTGGCTCAAACACTGCAGTGGTTTTGGTGCAAACAACCTAAAAACTGCGAGGTTTGCGTGCATTTAAATGGTTTCTGTGACTTGTGAGACAATGCGAGTCTGCACCATATACCAACATTCTTCCATTCCTTTTATTCTCAAGGATAATTTATTGAATGTCAGCAAAATGGCATGCCTGGAGATAGCCACTGAGTTTGAACCCCTTTGCTCTTTCATTCATCTTCCTCCTACTCTATTAATCTTGCTGAGGGGAGCTAGAAGAGCTCTAAATATAGGCGAGCCAGCTGTGCCAGGGGTGACAGGCAGGCAGCAGGGAGTGCAAAGAGTCACAGCGTCCCCAGGCTTTGTCTCAGAGCAGGGAAGCAGCAGGCAATGGTTCATCATCATCTTTTCCTTTACCAACCCAGCTGCTTATAAATATGAGCGGTTATTGCTTGAAACAACTGTAGCGTGCAGCCTCAGTTAACAACATAATACAGGGCTTGAACAAATGCATGGATTCACACACACACACAAACACACACACACACACTCATATGTAAGTTTTTCACAGGCAACAAAAAGCAGCTAAGATTCCATCTGTTGTTTTGCATCCTTTGTTGACTTTCTGCTTTAAAACACCCCCCTGAGATTAATTTACCCACCCGCCCACCCACCCAAACAAACACACACACTCTCCCATACACACTGACATTTCAAAGTGACAGCCACTTTAATTACAATGCTTATTCTTTGACATCAAAACAACACAGATCCTAAAAAAAACCATGAGTTTGATATTGAGTGTCTTATTGGGTAGAATGAAACAGCGTTTCAGTGGATGTGGGAAACATTTTCACTCAGCTCTTCCCCCTTAGGCTGTGTCTGATTTTCTAATGAATCATCCCTACGGTACACAAATCTTTGCCAAATAAAAATAAAATAAAATATATATATATATATATATATATATATATATACAGGTGCTGGCCAGTAAATTAGAATATCATCAAAAGGTTGAAAATATTTCAGTAATTCCATTCAAAACGTGAAACTTGTACATTATATTCATGCAATGCACACAGACCAATGTATTTCCAATGTTCATTACATTTAAATTTGATATTCATAAGTGACAACTAATGAAAACTCCAAATTTGGTATCTCAAAAAATTAGAATATTCTGAAAAGGCTGAATATAGAAGACACCTGCTGCCACTCTAATCAGCTGATTTACTCAAAACACCTGCAAAGGCCTTTAAAAGGTCCCTCAGTCTTGTTTTGAAGGCACCACAATCATGGGGAAGACATCTGACTTAACAGCTGTCCAAAAGACAATCATTGACACCTTGCACAAGGAGGGCAAGACACAAAAGGTGATTGCTAAAGAAGCTGGCTGTTCGCAGAGCTCTGTGTCCAAGCACATTAACAGACAGGCGAAGGGACGGAAAAAATGTGGTAGAAAAAAGTGTACAAGCTCTAGGGATAACCGCACCCTGCAGAGAATTGTGACGACAAACCCATTCAAAAATGTGGGGGAGATCCACAAAGAGTGGACTGCAGCTGGAGTCAGCGCTTCAAGAACCACCACGAGGAGACTCATGAAAGACATGGGATTCAGGTGTCGCATTCCGTGTGTCAAGCCACTCTTGAACAAGAAACAGCGCAAGAAGCGTCTCGCCTGGGCCAAGGACAAAAAGGACTGGACTGATGCTGAGTGGTCCAAAGTTATGTTTTCTGATGAAAGCAAGTTCTGCATTTCCTTTGGAAATCAAGGACCCAGAGTCTGGAGGAAGAGCGGAGAAGCACAGAATCCACGTTGCATGAGGTCCAGTGTAAAGTTTCCACCGTCAGTGATGGTGTGGGGTGCCATGTCATCTGCCGGTGTTGGCCCACTCTGTTTCCTGAGGTCCAGGGTCAATGCAGCCGTCTACCAGGAAGTTTTAGAGCACTTCATGCTTCCTGCTGCTGACCAACTTTATGGGGATGCAGACTTCACCTTTCAACAGGACTTGGCACCTGCACACAGTGCCAAAACCACCAGCACCTGGTTCAAGGACCATGGTATCCCTGTCCTTGATTGGCCAGCAAACTCGCCTGACCTTAACCCCATAGAAAATCTATGGGGTATTGTGAAGCGGAGGATGCAATACGCTAGACCCAACAATGCAGAGGAGCTGAAGACGACTATCAGAGCAACCTGGGCTCTCATAACACCTGAGCAGTGCCACAGACTGATCGAGTCCATGCCACGCCGCATTACTGCAGTTATTGAGGCAAAAGGAGCCCCGACTAAGTATTGAGTGCTATACATGCACATTCTTTTCATGTTCATTCTTTTCAGTTGGCCAACATTAGAGAAACAAACATTTTTTCATTGGCCTTTAGAATATTCTAATTTTCTGAGATACCAGATTTGATGTTTTCATTGGTTGTCACCTATAAATATCAAAATTAAACGTAATAAACATCGGAAATACATTGGTCTGTGTGCATTGCATGAATATAATGTACAAGTTTCACGTTTTGAATGGAATTACTGAAATATTTTCAACCTTTTGATGATATTCTAATTTACTGGCCAGCACCTGTATATATATATATATAAAACAACTGCTTACTTCATTCCATCTTCTTTGTCCTCGGTTTCATTTTTCTCTTCATCCCGCTCTGCTTCCTTCTCCTTTTCCTCCTTCTCCTTGTCCTCCTGGCTGCTCCTGCTTACTTGTTGCTGCTGCTGCTGCTGCTGACCGTGCTGCATTTAAACAGTAACAAGGTACTTTACTTCACAGATAATCACAAATAACACAGAATAATATCAAATAAAGTGTGTTGGAGCTAATCAGTGGTAAATACACTATCTGTCTCTTCTGTTAAATCCAAATAAAATGACGCTGGACCACTTTTACTTTGGATTATAGAATATATTTATTGTGATTTGCCTTTGAAATGTCTGAAATGTCCATTATTATCTTGGACAATGCTCAAGCAATCAGGGAGGAAGAAAGATTTTTAACAGATTTAAACCCTGAAGCAATCCCAACGCTCCGTCGGGTTTGTATATTAGAACCAATGCATGGTGGGAAAATCCCCTAATGAGCCTCTCTTCCTACCCTGATGTACTCATCTCTCTGGAATAATGTAGGTCTGAGTTTTCTTTGCTGATTGAAAGTCTTCAGAATTTCAACAGTTGAATATTTCAAACACTTTATCCAAATATTTTTTCAGATTGCTAATATTTTAGACTTTTTCCAACCACATTTTCCCTGGCAGGTTCACTGCTTTACAGTGAGTCACTGCTGAACCAAATCAATCACTGATGACTTTTTTATCCCTGTAGAAACTTTGACTTCTTTTACTAAATAAAAATCTAGGTGTTGGTGTTTGTTCGATGCAGAGTAGCAACAGTTTTCTCCAGACACACAGACTGAGCAGACACTTTCTAAAGGACATTTAGGACGTCACTGCAGACATCAAAACTTTTGTGTGACTGGGATTTTCCCCGCTGCAGCTAAAAAAAAGGTTTGTTATCACAAATAAAATCAGAGTTTCACTTGTTTCAAATCCAGAACATGGTTCAATATAAAGAGGGGAAAAAAATCCCACTGATTATCAGCTGAGGTCAAATGTAACAGGATATGAAAGTTCAAAATGCAGCAGCAGATTTCTACTGTGTAGCTGCAGCTCTTTAAGAACCCAGAACCACTTCCTTACCAGCTTCCTGCTAGTCTGGGCATTTAGGGTTAGGGCTCAGAAGACTGCAAACACAACCAGACCTTAAATACGGACTCAAGATCAATTCACTCCTGCACTTACTTCCAGAAAACACGGGAATGAAAAGCATACGCCAACAAACTAGAGAGAAATGACACGTAGACACTGGGAATTAAGTCGTCTTCTTTTCTTAGAATTCTTTAACATCCTTCGCCTCTTTTTAAAGAAAACAAATGAGTCACATGATATTTTTGTCTCACATGATTCAGACGCATTTACCTTTCCAAGAATCAGCCGAACAGTCTCCAAAGTAAAGATCTGCAGGGTGTCTTAACATGTAAAAATAAAAATACCTCACAAACTGCCCGAGCTGAGTCTAATCATCTGATTCTGTCTCGATATAAGTGATGCACTTTCTGTTCCTCCCTGAGTCCATTCTTCTGTTGGATTAGAGAGCCAGAGTCACATGGAGAAGAAACACTGAACCATACCTGGCTTCTTCCTCGGCGCCTGATGTTCCTTCGCACTATGTTCTTGTAGTTCTCATTCTTTTTGGTCAGGTAGTAAAAGAGGACACACTCTGCCACCGTCTGAAACATAGAATCAAATGTCACTTTTCACCTCCTATGAAGGCAGGATGACTCAGAACAAAGAAACATCACACCATACCTTCCTCTCTAGGAACGACGCAATCAGGCCAAAGTTTTTGGGATGCTGGATGAACCTGTGGGAGAAGAACAAAGCTGGTCTGATGACTTGTTTACAGGGACGCTCCACGGAAGAAAAAGACTTTGGTGCTGTAATAACAATCATATAAACATCCACACAGAGTTAACTTTTTAAAAGTGCCGTATGATATGCTATGAAAACCCACAGCTGTCACTTATGCAGATGTTCCATCTGAGGAGGAGACTGAAGCTCTTTGTGTGTGGGAATCCTGAAAGTCATCAGTTTTACAGTGAGGTCCTGATTTGATTTTGCGGCGCTACCCGACCTCTCTCAATTCTCACGAAAGGGTAAGATTCACTTCCTTATTTACAACTCAATGACCCTTTACTGATTACTCAAACATCACTGGATGTGAGCCAGAGATTGGCTAAGAAGAAGCTGTCAAGCTATTAGTCCAGCAAAGGTTAGTGGAATAAATAAAATTAGATTAATAAATAAGTTAAATAAATAATAAAGGTTGGATTCAGCTTACTTTTCTCTGAAAGTGTCCTTCTCCTGCTCGCTCCACATATTCATAACCTGCCGATCCTTGTAAACCTTCATGGGGTCGTCCATGAGTCCATTCATGTTGATAAACTTGATGCGTTGCTGCTCAGCGTCGAACAGCATCGGAGGGATGACCGCCAGCTGTCGCATCTGCTTCTCTGTGTTCTAGTGGACACGCATGTCGCATGGAGGAGAAAAAGAAACCAAAATCCTGGAGTAAGTGGACTGGTCTCAGCTAAGAAACTGCATCAGTCTATAAACACACACACACACACACACGCGCACACACACACATACACACACGCGCACACACACACATACGCACGCGCGCGCGCACACACACACGCACACACACACACGTATGCAGAGCTAAAAAAGGTGGATGTTATTTAAATTCTTTAAATAAGACAAATATAGTAAACTCAACTCTTTCTTGTTTTACGTACAGAGAATAAATCATAAAATTGTTTACACAACAATGAGATGTGATGTCTTTCATTTCACTGTAAAGGAATGTGTGTGTGTGTGTGTGTGTGTGTGTGTGTGTGTGTGTGTGTGTGTGTGTGTGTGTGTGTGTGTGTGTGTGTGTGTGTGTGTGTGTGTGTGTGTGTGTGCGTGTGTGTGTGTGTGTGTGTGTGTGTGTTTAATCTTTTGCACACAAGCAGATTAAAAAGAAAATATCCATTTGACCTTTGCATTAATACAAACCACACAGAGATGGCCCAATAACCTTGTTTACACAGCTGTGGTTTGTTGAGTCAAAAATAAAAAAACGTTGAAACATTTAGTAATATTTGTGTAAAATGCTGACATTGGGTCGCAAAACCCTAAAATATAGCCGACATCGCCCAGCTCTGCCCTGGCTCAATCTAAACACAGATCCTCTTCAGTTTAGCAGCTTAAATCTAATAAAGAAAGATTTTGCTATTTAAACATTGAGAGGTTTCTATTGGATGGCGATAAATGAAAGACGCTGTTGTATTAAAGTCGGAGAATAAATAAAGCCTTTTGAATGATCACAGTGTGAGAAAGTGATCTGAATTCATTTAAATGGATCTTTATATTGAGCATGAACGTTGGACATAGAGGTAAAATAAATGGTTCAGTTTTTTCTATTTGAACACGACTTCCTTCTCCAGACCCAGCTGTCATTTTTATCTACTTAACTTTTATTTGTGAGAAGTCCAAAGCAACACAAAAGCTGATGATGCATCTCATGATTCCACACATGCTCTCATGATCCCAAACATCTGCTACGACACTCACTCTTACAAAACTTTTATGAATGAGCTTTATTCTTTAGACGTTTTTAAATTGTTTACTAATGTTTTAGTGATATTTTTACTGTGAAAGGTGCCACATAACTAAAATGTACTTATTCAAGTGGCAGTAACTGTTCTCGGGCTTTCCTCTACATTCCATTTTTGGTTCTTTTTTAAAACACAGGAAAGGTTTCTCTTTACCTTGCTGACAGTTTCGTTTGCGTCTGCAAACATCCTCTACATGTCGTATCATTTTAGAAGCTCATTTCCAGCTGTAAATATCTATTTATTATAGGTTTTGTTTCTGCCCCTAAATGAATCATGGCTCATTCTGCCTCTGATCTGGAACATTTCCAGTTCAGCAAAAACAACGATGCATCTTTTACGTTTAACCAAGGGTGTCCAAACCTTTTAACAAATGAGCCGATATGTTTGCGTTGATGGTAATTTTTGTCCATGCCCACTCCTCAAAATGGTCCAAAATAGGATTTACTTTTTTAATCTGAGCATAAAATATATATCAAATAAAAGGTATCTCTACATGAAAAACCTGCTGGAGAGACTGTTTCAATGGTCTAGAAATAAGGGGGTGTACAAAACCAGTCCAAGGGCCACAAACGGCCCCCGGGCCACACGTTGGACGTGTCTATTTAATCCTGATTCATTTACTGAATTTCCTGACCATCCTGGGCTTCATTTTAATTTCCCGCAGCCCTGAATGCCAGTTTTCTCTACCAAACCTGCATTTAAAAGGCTGTTGTTGAGAAAACAGATCATTGAACAGGTTCTGATGAGTCGGGACTTTGGTCTGTCCGTCTGTGTTTATGGTATTAGAGTTAGGACAGCGTCTGAATGCTGTGCTGCGATTACTGGTCAGAAGGACTTGTGCTTTCTACCAAACATGAGCTCTACAGCTGTGGTGCCAGACTGCTCATTAGCTCAGATGACAGCTACAATGCTTGTTGTTCTTCATCTTGAGGGAATGACGGCACCGCGGTTCACCACTGCATAAGGCTATAGTGTTGAATAAACATGAATTCAGTGCCAGCCCTGGCAGAGAAAGGTAATGTCAGTGATAACTAACAGGAAGAGCTCACCTCGTGCTCTGATATCCCATCAATGATTTCAGAGACCTCATGTTCGCTGCGGGCAGCAGATGAGGTCAGGCCTCCTCCTCCTCGCTGCCCAACGCGACTGCAGAAGTAAAAACAGATGACTCGTTACTGATAACTACACACACAGTGACTAAGCTACTAATGAAAAATGTTCAGAGATGCTTTCCAACAGCAGTGGTAATAAGACAAACACAAGGATTGAATCAGCTGAGAGCCAACAACGTTATCCCACCTCTGCATTCGCTCCTGCATCTCCCTCTGCTTGCGGATTTCAGGGAACTGTTTCTCATAGTACTCCCGCACCTTGCTCTCCTTGGCTCGGCGCCGTGGGTTGTTTTCAATGCGCTCTACTTTCTTCTCCCAGGCCTCCATTAGCTGGTCATAGCGCTGACAAAACTTCTGCTCCTGATAGAAGCAGAAAAAGATCTCGTCTATGGCAAAACAAAGACCAGCGTGATCTGTTTCAGCCCTTATTTTACCTAGAGAAGCATCAGTAATGAAGAAAACCTGCAGATGAGTAACTTAATTACTGATTGCAGCTTTATCAGAAGCTCCGTTAAGGACAGCCTTGAACCAAAGACCTTCCATACAGAAAGTCCATGTTATTTTTTTAAATCTTTCTCACAGGCAGCTTGTAAAGCATCCCATTAATCCTGGTGGAGACACGACCCTCAGTGGGCTCGTAAACCACGAGGCGATGTCTCCCCACATGGAGCTACCACTCCCACCTAGACACAACACGAACGAGCAGCAGACGGACTTTAAAACAGGTGTTGGGTTTGAGCTATTCTTCCCCACATAAACCCCATAACACATAAAAGTTTAGTATTTTCTGATTAAGGATTTCTAGGTTTAATAGATTAATAATGGTTTTCAATGACGTTTGCAGCCGAGTTCTTTGTCTCCGTCTGAGTCACTGCGAGGCAAGACCAGACCGATGCTGTGCTGGTCTCATTGTGGCGTTTGGCTCACAACAGACATAACATTATTCTTTCACATGACAGCATGAGAAATCTCTTCTATTTGTTTTTCTACAGCTGTCGCTTCCCCAAGGCACCGTGCAAGTACTGACAACGGATCATGCCCAGAGCTTTTTCCTTTTCTCCCTCCTCTCTGGCACGTCTAAAATGGACACTCACTTCAAGGAGCAGCTGGCCCAATTTCACACAAGTCATCTGTCATGGGCAGAGTCCCAGCTGAGAGTCACAAATGGAGTTTTCTACTTACCCACTGCTTACGAGCATGATTCCTTCTTTTGAAATACAAGATGAGCTTCTTCCTCATGGCCTGGTTTCTGCAATAAGAAAAGAAAAGTGAAGAGATGAAGAGATGGGACCGATGGATGAACAACCTAATGTATTTAAGGCAAGAACATCCTAAAAAAACATCAGACGACACTTAAGGCTTTATGGCATTTGTTACATTTTTTATCCAAATCTATGATGAAAAGCTTAAAGCACACACTCTCTACCCTCAGCACTATGCAAGCTACACTCCTTTGCCTTATGAATAAAACACAAACAAGCTCACTTTACACTCTCACATAAACACAAACAATGCAGGTCCTTGACTGCAGCCGCTCGATAAACTCAATCTCTCTTCGGGGTGGAAAGGAGAGTCAAACTTATAAAACTTGTCTGTGCTGGGAACAGCCAGACACGCAGCTTCAAATAAAGGTCAGGGCCAGTAATCTCCTAAGGCGGCCACTCGGTTTGTCTTTTTCTTTCCTGCAAGACAGGGTTTTATTCCTGACACTTAATCTGTCAGCTGTAAGGTCATGTTCTCCCCTGATTAATGTAATCTTACTCTACATTAGACACCTCAGCTGAGCTGCAGGTTTCCTCCGGACACAGGCGAGGACAGACGGAGACTTCTTCTTGTGTATGAACAAAATTTGCAGATGTCAAGATAACAGTGATGGTCTAGGAGAGATAAACATGTGCTGTGACCTTTTGCTTTTAAAACAAGCTGTAAGATGATAAAGTTGAATCTAAAAAGCTCGCCTCTGACCTACATAAACAGCCACATACAGACGATGCTGAGCTGGAAAAGTAATGGTAAGAAATTCATCTGCACACACTGGATGTTCATAAATTAAGTTATAATGGGTGAGAACTGATTTGGAAAGGCAAAAACGGGCCTGTCAGAGTGGAGCTCTTTTAACACAGAGATGGTATTGTCCTCTGCAGACCAGATGGCAAAAGCCAAGATTAGCAGCCCTGTAACCCAACAAGAGCTTCCCTTTGTCCTGCTCCAAGGCCGGGCCGTTTCTGAGATATTGGAGAACATTGTAATTTGACATAATACCTCTAAAACATGATGGCTCTAAGATTCATTATAGGCATACTTGTGACAGATGTTCTCCAGCGGTACGGCCACTCTGAGCAAAAGCTCCAACTTCAAAGCCTGAATTTTCCCTCACAGCATCTGCATGAGCCAGGGAACTTGGCACATTTATCATCAGCTTACTTAACCGTGTGTGTGTGTGTGTGCGCGCGCGTGCGTGCGTGTGTGTGTGTGTGTGTGTGTGTGTGTGTGTGTGTACAGGAGATGAAATGGGATGGCCACTGAGAAATCCACAGAGATATTAGGTAGTCATCTGTGTAGACAGGGATGAATGCCAAAGTTATCAGACAGTTAACAACACAAAGGAGTTAACTGTGCTCGGTTGAACTGACACACTGGTGTTTAATAACACACACACAAAGGAGGAGTGAGAGAACTTTTCAGTTAATTACTTTGAGGCAATAATATTGATCAAACAGCGTAGGGATCAAAGACAGTGAGGACAGCAGAGTGCAGCTAATAGGTCAGACACATCTTGTGGTATGCCTCTGAGCCTAAACCACAGTGCCAGTGCTACTAGAACCTTCTACTGCCTTTTGATGAATCTCATAAGCCCCACTGACAGACGCTGCTGTCTAGCTGTCATCTCCCTGCTCTTCCTCGACGCAGACATCCACTAACATAAGAAAATAATACAGTGTACTGATTGAACCCTTGCTCTAAGATGATTCCTGCAGGTAATAAAAGTATTTGCCACTAAAATATTTTGTCAATGGGGGGCACATTCTGTCACATTTACAAAACCAGAAGTTAGACCTAATTTTATCTGAAATAAACATTTATTTTAGAAATCACAACCTTAAAGAGAACGCCAGCAATAACTGAACTCGATGTGCCAGAAACAGATATTCAGTTATTGAATTTAAAGGGTCTCTATATAACACATGAAACTTTGTGGCTCAAGATAGACCAGGAACCCTGATAAATCTCCGTAATAAAGTCCTATAATGGGAACACTGGTTTGTCTCGCTCATTGGCCAGGACATGGATATTAGATGAATATTAAGTGTCGTGAACAACCCTGCCATAGCCTGCTGTAACAAGCGCTAACAACAAGCTAGTGCTAACACAAGCCAACAGATGCTAAATAAGCCACAAAGTATATAGATTCACACTGTTGTACCAAATCGTATTAATTAGAAGTAGCAACAAAGCCAGGTCACCATCACATTTTGCTGCCTCATTTAGCTCCATCAATCTAGTGTAGGTCATGCCAATGTTTACGCTGGTTTTAGCTCTTTCCTTCGCCTGCAAAGACATTACTCTCTTACTATTAATTCCAGGCTCTGCCACGATGCCAACCAGAATGAAGCAAATCCCTACTTTTTCTACTTTGTGTGCTTTTTATAGACGGTCAACAAACTGAAAATGCTAGCCTAGCTATCAGCTGAATAAACAGCTAACAGCCTTAAAGCAGGTATAGAGCTCCCCCTAGTGAACCTACCTGTCTCACAACTGCTAAGTGTGGCTTCTGGTCAGCAGAGTGAAGTTGGTAATGTTTCTAGCTACAAAATCACTGAAACCAACTTTTATAGGAATAAGTGTTAAAACTCTTTGGTGTGATTTAGCAAATTAATTCATAGGTCACACACATACTCTGAGCTACTGGAGTGAATTTCACACCAATATCATTTATTTTAGAGCTAGATTGTGTCTATTAAAAATAATACAGAGGGAGGCATCATTAATTTTTTACTTTACTGATTTATTGACTTTTTCATGCAGATCTTTGTATCACTCAGTAGATTTTCTCAAATGAACCATACATTTCATTCCTTACTATAATAGACACTTGGGGAGTATTCAGTGTATAACACATAACATTTAAATACAATTATCAGACCTCCAACTTGGTGTCTTTAAATGTATGGTGCTGACATCCCCCTTCTGGCATTGTCCACCTGCTTGTCCACGTGGCAGGGGTGAGGAGTGAGCACCACCTCCCTACTGCCACGTGGGCCTTAAGGGATGAACCATCAACCCTACTCAACCTTTCCTGGAGGGGTCACCCGATAGGATAGTGAAGGGGGGGGGGGGGGGGGGGGGGGGTATGGGTTGATCGGAAATCCTGAATCTCTGTTTACATACACACCAACTGAAATGATCCAATCATGCTGTGAGTTTATAAGCACCAAGTATTCAATCAGATTAAATAGGTTGAGAAAGCGCAGAGTTGTCTTTCCCAGAAAATAAACATTGTAAACAAACTTCATGAAACGAAAATGAAAACATAAAACATAAATTACAATTCTTCTTGCTTTCCTGATTCATTTAATTAATTGAATGTTTTTATTTTGCTCATATAAGTTACATTTTCTTCAGTGAATAACTGCAGATTTATGCTTTGCAGCGTTTTATTGTTGACGATATTAAAGTAAGGGAGGGTCTGCCTCTTGATCAGCTGGTCCGCGGGTCTGGGGGTGTTCAGAGTGATGTTTTATACCGAGCTCTGTTGTGGTTTATTCTTAATAAAATATGATAATCAGCTGAAACTGTTGAGAAAATTTGGTTCTAACTAAATAGCAGGAGATGTTCAGAAAGTTTGGAAGCCTGTGTTCATCATGTGTTCATAAACGAACCGTGTTAGCGTGCTTTTAGATAGTCACCCAGAATATTTAACTGAGGACGTTTTTCTACTCAACATCAGCCTCCTTAAACTCAAACCAGGCCTGTTTAACCCATGTTACCCCGTCACCTTTACGCGCACGCCTCCATCCACCTGCTGCAGAAACAGCTGCTGCAAACCCTGCAATGAATCTGCGTGTTTCCAGTACAGACTTAAACATGTTTGTCGAATAATTTGTGCAATAATCAGATTTTTATTTTACTTCCACAAAATGCAAGTTCTGGATATTACTGAAACTGGGACGGCTTGTCATCATATTTAAAAGCCGGCGCTACTTAATTAGGCTGTCATTTTTTTAGGCAGGTAGTCCAGATGACAGCGGGGAAGCTTGCTAGCTGTTGCACACATGCACAGAGGGCATTATTTTACTCCTACAACCTGAAGGGCTGTGTAAATGCACGTCAATCAAAATGATGATGGAACAAAACCACCTCTCTCAATTGGATTGAAATTTCACTCTGATCGGGCCGAATTGGATCAGAATATTCCGATTAACATGTTTACATGCAGAATTTTAGATCTGATTGGGCGTTCAATCCGATTAATTGTGCCCATGTAAATGTGGCTAAGGTTATCAAAGCTGCCAGGCTGTGAGTTATCACGAGCCCACAGATCTTATTTCAATAACCAAGTTTTACACTTGACCATCAACAGTGGATGTAAATGCATTCTCACTTAAGACTATCGGCTCTCAAAGCAGTGTCTAAATGCTCACAAACATTTAGATGCGACACAGAGCTCAAACTATTATGCTGTTGGTTTAAAAAAGCAGGAATGTGACCAGTTATTGGAAGCCAGGGAGCAGAAAGAAATTGACACACTGAATTTAAAACATTTGTCTTAAACAGATAAAATGCGCTCTAGCGACAGGGGAGCGCTCTTGTCAGCACACAGACAATGCACGCTGCAGCTGCATGCCAGTAAATCCAAGAAGCAGCAGCGTCATTACTTTTTAGCTTCTGTGAGACGGGCAGAAATTTGCATTTTGAGCATAAATTTCATCCAGTTTTGTGAATGAAAGATCACTCCATGTCCCATCAAGTTTTAGTCACCAAAGGGATAATTTGTGCTTGTCAACGTCTCAATTTTGTTATGAGTTAAAGAGGCAGCGACAAAATAATTTTTTTATCGTACAGTATCCAGATATGAAAGCTATGGATCTATCTGGCCTTCATTCAAAATTTGAATGAAACTTTTTTTGTGGCCATTACAACATTACTAATTTAGATTAGAAAGCAGGTCAGACATGGCACAGTCTCTTTGGTATGCTACACCAGATGACTCAAGCCGCCATTATTCAACAACAACAATGTTCATGTAGTTTTAGATTCTAGGACACCTGAAATGGTTGGCCTTCCCAAAGCAGTTGTGTCTGCTGTCAACACGTGCAATCACATGTGACTGCTGTCTGAAGTCTACTTGAGATTTTACAGTACCACTTTTTTTAAGAGATTGTTTCCATGACGATGCGAGACTCTTGAAACAAAGTTAGACCGTTGGTTGTAAACATGGACATTTGCAGATGACTGCCATGTGTTATGATCATTATTACAATGCAGCTGTTAAGAGATGTCATGATATTTATGCTTGATACAAATTTACATTAATTAATTACTATTGTAGCCGGTATGTTACAGATCAACATGTCCTCTACTAACAGGTATGCAGCGGTAGGTGGATATCATGTCATAAAGCCTATGAAATCAACTCTGTGGTTTTAAAGGTTTTTCATCACAGGACAGATTTCCGTCTTTGTTAGACAATCCGATTGAAAATGGCTACCAAAGTTAATCAGAATTAGCAAACACAAAAATGTCTATAAATCAGGTGTCACTGTTGCCGAGTCATTCACAACACTGCTAACAGTGAGTCATCCCATCTGTCTGATATCTAATGAAACCCTAAATGGATCTTTAAAGGTGCAATTGGTAGAAACTACACAGTGAAATAACCACAAAACAGCCTAATCGTGCTGGAGGTAGGGTTACGCCGGGGACACACCGGCCGCGGAAGCGCCGCGAAGCGAATCGCTCACGAAATTCGGCTGCTGCTCGCCGCTCCTCAGTTCAGATCAGATGCGCCCCAGTCGAGGCGCGCCTCGGCTCAGCTGTAGTTTATCTTTTAAACACTTGGTGTCCTCCATTTCCTCTCTGCCTTTTCTCAGCTCTTTTCCTCTACGTGGTGTGTGTGTGTGTGTGTGTGTGTGTGTGTGTGTGTGTGTGTGTGTGTGTGTGTCTGTGTGTGTGTGTGTGTGTGTGTGTGTGTGTGTGTGTGTGTGTGTGTGTGTGTGTGTGTGTGTGTGTGTGTGTGTGTGTGTGTGTGTGTGTGTGTGTGTGTGTGTGTGTGTGTGTGTCAGTTGAATCTCTTGGAACCCGCTCCAATTCTGCAGCTGTATCCTAGCAGTTTCTTCTGAAATGGGTACGTAAATAATCATGTTTTTCGGGGGTCGTACAGCTCCTTGTGTTTCTCAACTTCCATAATTAATTTAAAGTCATCCATCTTAACTGCTTGCCTCAGACTTTCTGCCTCTCTGTCCTGTTTGCTCCGGTGAAAAGACACCCCAAACCACACACCCCTTCACGTGGTCACACACGCACACAAGTTCGATGTGTGTGTGCGTGTGGTTTTTCTGCGGTGTCTGATTACGAACACGTTTGACTATTGCAGAATTTTATTTTGAAATGCTTTATTTTGTTAACTTTACCGGCCTGCCTCTTATGTCTAGGTTTGACTTCCTGCCAGAATTGACGCGATTCACCCGCGGCTCGCGAAAAAAATAGAGCCGACGCCGAAATGATCGCTGCACGGCGCGGGCTGGAGCGCCGGCACGAGGTGCTTCGCGGCGCTTCAGCGGCCCATGTGGTCTATAGAATAGCTTTACAAGGGCGCCGAATGAAGGCGGTCCCATTTTCGCGGCGCTTCCGCGGCCAGTGTGTCCCCGGCGTTATACTGAAACAGATTTCATTCTCGGGGTGGGGTTGGGGGTTAACAATGCTAACGGTGAATTAAAAGTAAAAAAGTAAAGTAAAAATAGCTGAAGCTACTTTTTCTATTACCAACAACTAGATATTACTGTGAAATGTATTTGTGAAGTGAATAGTGAGTCAATTGTGGCATTTTACTTCCTTTAATGAGTCATTCAGAGCTATAAGAGCAAGCTAACAAGACGGCAAACATAAGCAATTCCAGTAAAACCAAAGACAAACTACTGTAACAAGTGAAGAAAGTGCTCCCTGCCGTAACAAACTCAAGCGCGCTAACACCAGCTATGACAATGTATTTATCTACTTATCAACATCAAGTTTGACTCAGCTTATCATCCAAATTCTTCTGGTGCTGATACATAACTGGTAACAGCCATGAAACTCATGAAACAGGAGTGAGAAAGTGATATTTTTGCTTAACAAATGGACCGTAGAAGCTACATGTGACCACAGGATGTCAGTCTAACAAAATGCCCTTTTATACAGTCTCTGAAAATAATCGTTAGATTTAAAACTGATTTAACCATTAGGGATAAACCAATCCAAGATGGCCGCCACAGCTAATTAACCTTAGCCAACACAGAAATGGCTGTAACAACTATGAGGATACCGAGCTAACACCAGACACTCTGAATGCAGACCATGTCGAGGCCTTTTCACTAAACAATCAGACTGATCTATCATCACATTTAGTACACCTGAGCAGGCGTTGTGAAGGACCCAATAAAACAAAAGAGAAAACCATGTACAGCATTTCAAACTAACATGTTTACACATTCCAGCAGTTGTATGCAGCTTTTGCACATTTTTGTGTTTCACCAATTTCTCAATGAACTACGGTTGAGTCGCAGAGGAAAGTCACTCACAGAAGCAGGACAACTCTGAAAAATGGGCTTGATTAATATGAGACAGAGGTTTTGTGGGAACTTGAGGTGTCAGGAGTAATTGCTGAGGTTTGGCCAATGTCATACTAAAGGATGATTTCACATTCAATATTACAAATGAATGCCAGTCGCTGCTCCTTGCAATGATGAGCAGAACAGCTGGAATATAAAGTTTGTGGCAGAGGGAATGTGCAGCAACTACAGAGCAAAGAGCTGCTATAACCAACAAGAACCCTAAACCATGCTTTAAAAAGATTTAAATCACCATTTATATCATCTGACAATCAGCAACAAATTCAGTTTACCTGGTGCACAGTCTGAAATAGTTATCCCTCTAGCATGATGGCTGCTTTAAATGAGTCTTTTACTCCTAAAGATTCAGCAAAATTCTAACTGAACAGTCACACATGAATTCCTTTAGAGACTTAATTATTTCAGCAGTTTCTAAGTTATACTAGTGGATATATGCTAGTAAATGTAAACAGATCAGGGCCTAGAGTGTTGAACTCACATTTTGATGTTGTCATGGTACTGTTTGGTGTCAGAAGGCTGATTGTACAGAGGCTGGAGACACAGAAGAAATCAAAAGATTAAAAATCAGCCATATTTTTAACTACAACAAACAATGAGATGACAGACAAAGACTCGCTCTAACTCAGACCAAAATAACTAATAAGAATCAGTTATTAGGGTCTAAATCTATCCGAGGAGAACATATCCACTGCACCAGTAAAATCAGCTCGTTTAAATAAAGAGACAGTAATAAAATCACAGATTAAAGTGTTCACTCACCAGTTCCACCCTGGGTCCCAGTCCCTCCAGTATCCTGTGAGCCTCTTCTGCCTTTTTCTAGAGAGAGAAGAAAAACAGAAGTAGTACACTGGGCTGCAAGAACCTGTGCCATCACCACGGCAACGCCGATCACTAGGGCTACACCACAGCCTGCTGCATAGGTGGAGGGCTGGATGAAGAGATGGATGTACTGACTATTATTAGAGCTTTTAACTCAAGCTGGGCCCCAGCTCCTTGCCTCAGCTGCCTCTCGTCTCTCCCCAGAAAAAAATGAAAGAACGATTACTCACCTCCCTAAGGCAGAGAGAGGTTAGAGAGGGACAGAGAGAGAGGGAGAGAACAGGCAGGCAGGAAAGCAAGTGGCTGCTGGAGTGGTGGTGGGTCTACACAGCAACAACAGAATGGTTGCTGTGTAGATGGGGCGTTACGCTGGGCAGCAACAAGTCCTGTCTGTGTCTTCAGAGGACACTTCTGTTCATTTGCTCCTTAAAACACTAATATTTAGCTCCCACACACAACACATCCCTCTAAATGTTCCCTTATTCAATCCACTGTGTACACGCTCAGCTTCATCTGTCAAACAACGCCTGCTCGCCGATACGCCACACACTCTGTTCCTTTCCATTTTAGTTCATTTTTCTCAGTAGACACTGTAAAGTGACCCGGGCTGATGCACTCTGCTTATGTAGTCTTACTTTAACGCTGATGTGTTTGTTTTCTCTTCCTGATAAAGAACAAACAGGAACTGGTTTATACACAACTCCTGCAAACGGAATAAACTACCAAGAGCTTTAGGATTAAACACATTTCCATAACTTGATCCTCCAGGTGAAAACTTTTTAACTCCAGCTGAAGACAAAAGGAAGATCTGAGCTTCAGGTGTGCTCATGCCGTACATATCCTTCAAATGCAAACACAGCTCCTCATCAGTGAGGAGGTGTAACAGGCTGAGGAGGATTGCCTCAGAGAGCTCGCTCATAACAGCAGCACTTAATGAGCAGCAATTATTAAAAGCAGACTTTCATCCTCTGAGAGCGGGGAGCCTCAGGGAGTTCATTTCATTTCCTAGCTGTGATACTTTGATGGCTGATTTGAAAACAAAACTGCATGATGCTGACCTCAAAACTCAGCCAGTATGACTCGACAGGAAATACGTTAAATTACACGCTTAGAAATAAAGAGGTGTTACAGAGTACAGGGATCGGTGGTTTAAACCACCCTCCCACACACACACACACACACATCTTTAAAAAGTCATGGGGAGAGGCTGGCTGTGATATTTCAATCATGCCCCCCCTGTGGTAGCACACAGAGCTGCTACTGTGGTGGGGCACCACGACTGTTTGTGTGACAACACACTAAAACACCAACCACAGGGATTGTGGGAAGAAAACCAAATCAAGGAAAAGCCACTCTAACCCAAAATGATCACACTGTGATCTCAAGAAGTTTGTCTCCTCATGTGTTCATGTCTGTTACGACTAACTCCGAACAGAGCGAACACGAGTCGGGCGAGTTGAGCTGTCTCTGGGCTAGACGACAGGCTGTCAGTGTAAATGTGGCTGCAGCCCTGCTTGTAAGAGCTGGTGACTGTGAGCCTGCAGGGGACAGATGGCAGCGTAGAGGCTGATTATAGCCACACATCTAGACATACATGTGAATGAACTGGATAATCACAAATGTCAACAGTAAAAATCCATAAAGGTCACGATATATAGGTTAAACGGTGTAAGAATTGAGTTAAACAAAAGCTTGACCAGAAAAAAAGAAGTTTTGATTGTGAGTCTGGATGGCTTGGAGGCCAGAGGGCATCCTCATGTAAGTCTGAGAAAAGTGTTCGAGAGGTCAGACCACCGAGTCGAGTCACTCTTCAACCCATTCCATCTGGGTTGTTCCACAGGAAGCCTGATCTATGCAGCAGGATGCCAGTGGAAGTCACGTCCTGCTCATCTTAAAGAGGTTTTTGATTCACGTCAGTGGATCTGCAGCTGTTTCTGTGCTAGTTAGATACATGGTACATGAGACATGGTATCCTGCTGAATGAAACTCAATCACAATGTTCTCTAGGTTCTCTACCTTCAGCAAAGTCCAACGTGTTTTGTTTACTTCATTCTGAGGCTGTCCTTGTGTGTGTAATGAGAAGGTTTAAAGTTTTACATGAAAGGCTCCCAGCTGAGTTTTATGTTTGATATGAGAAGTGGAACAGTAAAAGGGCTTCCTGTTGCACGTCTAACCACTAGGGGGGACTTAGAGAACTATCACTCCCATCATCCATTACAGTTTTATTTCTAACACCTTAACAGCATAAAGTCACTACAGCATTAAGGACTAACACTTTCCACTGACCTCAGAGGGGCTGTTTATCTCTTTATGAGAGGATGATCAATGCAACAGTTGAAAAAACAGGTTAGGGTTTGTGTCGGTGTAAAAGTGAGTCACCTTCTTCTGTGTGCATGTTTTTCTGAGTCTACGTGTGATTCATCGTGCCTGTTTTGATGACCTTTGGTAGCATATTCTTCCAGGCAAGATTTCTGCATTGCCTGACTGTAGAGTGTAGAAGGATCTGGTATGACAGGAATCCCTTTTGACACGCTTTGGTTGTTTTTGTTGTTGTGAATTTAATAAACCGAGTAAAAATAGATCCAAGATCTTGGAGTTGAAGTCTGTAGTTCTACTAAACAAACTACGCTAAATGTTGACATTTGGTCCTGCTGCCTCCAATAAATGGAAAGAACACTATTTGGCTCTACTCGCTGCATAAAAAGTAAAACTGTGCTGGAGAAACCAAACTGAAAGGTGGCAGTATTTGGATAAAAGGTTTGAACGTGAGTCTTCCACTGACCCGGTTCTCATCGTAGATGATCTGCACCAGGCTGCGATGTTTGGCTTCACTGGGGGGAGGAGAAATGGGCCGTTCAGGCTCGTGGGGCTTTGCGGCTTCCTCCTCCAGCTGTTGCTGTGATAAACACAAGGAATTTAAAACTCTGTTAGAAGGTAATTACTTCAATTTATCTAAGCTATTTTGAAGATCCACGTTGATATTTTTATTATAAATGGTGAGATGATAATCTTTACATGATAACCCCTAAACAAAACAGAATAATAACTAGATACGCTTATAGATCCAAAGCAAGCATGCTTACAGGGCAAAAACAACTAAATGCTATTATTTAACTTTTATACAAACAAGCCACGAAGTCTGACAAGCTGAATGTAGCTAGTTTATTAGCCAGGTAACGGGCTTATTGTGAGCTGTTTTATGAGACTGACAGATACAGTTACAGCTGGTTTGGGATGTAAACACAACTTTATTGCGTTTGCCCATGACATCTTAAAACACAGAAAAAAAAAACATCTTCCAGACAATCAATATGGTTATAACGTCCTCTGCTGCAGGTTAAAGCTCCATCTGAACCAGTGATAGTCAGAGTGGCTTTCAAATTTTAACTGTTCTTCTAATGAAGTTGATGTAACAGCATGTAAATAAACAAGTCCTTTGCATATATGAGAGCAGACCTGCTCATACAGGTTTTGCTGAACGCTGTATGCAGTCAGCTGTAGCGGTATGGCTGGGAGATGAGTGGTTTTGCAGTAACAAACCTCCAACATAATTCTACTCCCTCAGGGAAGCTGTTATTTATAGCCTCATATATTTTCAACTGACGTTTCTCCTAAATAAAAAAGCCAAAGAGGAGAGGAAAGAAGCGAGGGATGCAGAGCCCTGAAAGAGTGACCGTACATAATCGTGGCACACCCACCAACAAATGGCCACAAACTGGCTGGCCACAAAATTATCATGAAAACAGAACAGTGGGTGTTTTTATGCCTCCAACACTATTTTGTGAAGTAGCCTTTGTTTCGATGATTCTTTAATGACGACCAGCTAAATATCTTAGGGCTGCTAAACTAAAACTGAGGAAAGAGGAATACATGAACAGAAAGACTCCTACAAATAATAGGGAGTATAAATAACCCTTGCTCACATGTGAAAGTATCACCAGATTTATTTGAGCACAAACCTGTTTTTTGCGAAGTTTGCAGATCTGCTGCTCCACCATGCTGATCTCCCGGTCCACACGTTCCATATTCTGGACCAGTTCCTCCTTGGAGAAGCGAGCAGGAACTAGATCCAAGTCAGCATCCATATGGATCGGGCTCACAGGAGAGATGGGCTCTAGCTTCCCAATGGCACTGCCACGCTCCTGCAAACCACCAACAGACAGAAAATGTTGAACACAGGGTTACTAATCAGACCAGGGCTGAAGGATTTTACGAAAAGATAGAATTTAGATTTTTCTGACATAATTTGTGATTTCAATTTGAGATTTGAAACGATTGTCTTCAAATCGAGCTTTACTACAAAGTACAAATAATATTTACAGTCATGAAAGTGACATCCTACCACCAAAACATCACAAGCTATTACTTTAACTAAGCAACAATACAAACTAAAGGTAAGAATTGTTTTCAAGTGTCTTTAAGTAGAAATGTGCACGCAGTTTCCCTAGCATTGTTTCACCGAGGTGGGTCGCTTCATGGTTTTCTCTCCCAACCAAACCAAACCAAAAACTGCTTTAACACAGAATGACGATGCATTTTACATGCCTACTATGAATGATCATAACCCTGCATTGGTTTGCCTCATCACAAAAATTCAAACAGTTTTGATAGAAGAGAAGTTGAACTTTGTCCTAATAGCTTTATTAGGGGAAACCTCTTTCCTGTTACAGGAAGCAGGTGAATCAGAATCAGAAAAGGTTTATTGCCATTGTCAGTGAACAAACAATTCACAAACTAGGAACTTGCTTTGGTACTAATGTGCTACATATAACATGAACACATAATAAGATTAAAAATAGAATAAAATAGAATAAAACTTTCAGCTATAAAAATGGCAATTAATGGTAACAAGGCCGATAACGTGACGCTGTGTCGAGTACAGAAGACCAGCATGGTTGTGTGAATCAGCCCCTCTGCTCCACACTCACCAATGTGTCAAGAGAGGGACAGAAAATGAGTGACAGGTGACCACAGCCATAAATACAGAAACAAAAAAACGTCCCAATGTGCAGCTCAGGGGGAACCTTGATAGCGGCCCGCCACGGCTGAAATCCCAGCACCACGCCTACAAGATCCCACGTTTTTTGGGGTTTTTTTGCGCCGTTTCCCGAAGAAGCAGCGGGAACTACTCTGTTGTTGCTTGTGATCACAGCCGGTGTCGGTACAGGATCTGCTCGGGTGCAGGATCGGCTCGGGGTCCTTCGACTGCCGATGACGTCAAAGTAGTTGATTGGCTGAACATGAAGCTTACGGAAGTTACGTTATCACGTTATGATTTTGATTGGTCAGAACAAATTTGCGGTCGTAGTCTTAGCGGTTGTAGTCCTGTAGTCCAAAAATCAACACTTTTTGGAGAAAATATGTTTGAATTTCTAAAGGAAATGTAAAATATAAGCAAATGATAAACGGTGATCCTCAAAAGCTCTTGATGTTGATGAAATGGGGCAAAATAAAATATAAGAACTTTATTGAAACACACCAAGCAATACTTTGAGTCAAAGAATGTATTTAAGATAACAACTAAGGAAATATACAGACGAACTCCACATTAATACAAACAGATGTGGCTTCACATATAAGGACTGTTCTATTTTTTGTCAGTCCGATGTTGGTTTTATGCAGTTTCACATTCTTTACAAAACAAAGATAATATGGCGTTTTATTAACAAATTACAATTATAAAGAAAACATTTAGGTGTTAACAAACAAGAATTTATTAACAAAACTGCGAATGTCTTTCCAAAACGTATGTGTGAAAGCCGAGTAGATTTGCAGTAATGTGACGTCATCAGCAGTCGAGGGACCCCGAGCCGATCCTGCACCCGAGCAGATCCTGTACCGACACCGGCAGGCAGCAAGGAGGAGGAGGCAGGGCTGGGTGGTTGCAGCTAGGGATGAGCCGGATACTCATTTCAGACTAGTATCCGGTACGGATAAAGCATTTTTGACGAATACGAGCATGAAGCGTGTAAAACTCGTAAATATCTGTAATTGTGCTGAAGGAAAATCCTCATTGGGTAACTGACTGTCTTCACGCTCTGTGATTGGCCAGTCACATAGAGCGCCCGCCCCTCCCTACACACAAAACTGCAGCCCAGTCCGTCCGGCCCATCCATCCATCCACCCACCCACCCACACACCCCCACACACACACCCACACACACACCCACACCCACACCCACACACAGCCAGTAACGGATCTCTCTGTGATTGCTTCACTGTTGCTCACGTTTCTTCAGTACTCCCCATGTTTTCTTCAGCTGGCCTAATATTTAAAGTTGCTTTTTTCGTAACGTACGTGGTGCATTGACAAGACAAAGCTGAAAAAGGCTTGTGCATGCGTCGGTCACTGCCTCCGCTCCGGTCAGGTTATTTATTTTATTATTTTAACTCTCTCCCTCTCACGCGCACACCTTAATCAACATTGTTTTGTTTAACTGTGTGTGGGAAAAATGCAAACAACGTTAGGAAAAAGTCAGTTTAATCAAATAGTTTAATCAAACGTTTTTAATAGGGCCAGCCCAGTAATGATCTTGGACCAAAATAAAGGGGGGCAGAAGGAGATGTTTTTCTAGATGCCAAGAAAATTTAAATGCCAAACCACCCCTGCAAAGTGTGTCACTGAGAGTTTAAAACAAAAATTATTCTTGTGCAAAGATTGGTGTATTCATCTATAATACTAGTTATTAAAATGCAGCAGTTGTTGGATTGGTGCAATTCAAAGCTGAGCGCATCAAATAAAACAGTATTAAAATAAAGGTGAGACGTGTCAAAATCCCCATCTCCCCCCACCTGTACAAGTAGTCAGGGCACATGATCAATCAGGTCACAGTGACAGGACGCTCACAATGTCACAGACGCATGACATTCTGTCTCAATCTGTCCCCCTGCTGATATTCTGCATTCTGTTTTCTGCGCTTCAGGCTGTGTGTGTGTGTGTGTGTGTGTGCGTGCGAGTGCGTGTGTGTGTGTGCGTGTGGGGGGTCTTGTTCTGTGTGAAAATGAAGCAGTACAAGTGATAATGCTGCAGGATTTCATAATTTTATCCTTCTCAGCAGCAGCACTGCAAGTGCTCTCCATGTCCAAAATGTGCGTAAGCCAGGTCCCTAGTCAACTTTAAATTGCGCAAATTTTTCCGCTAAGTTTTCTTTCATAAATCCCAAGGTTTGCGTGGAAAGTTGCTTACGCAGTTTTCCGACCCCGTTTTGTGCGTAAGCGAGCTTGATAAATGAGGCCCCTGATCCTTAACAAATTAGTGTGTGTGCTCCAACCTGGGTTTTGTTCTGCGTTATTTTTAAACATCTGAAATAAAGGTTATGTAAGTGGGCTAATCTGGACTAGACAAGCAGCGCTACAGCCCCGTAGACCTGCTGTGACTGAAAATGTCTGCGCCAGAGGATGGCAGCCCCAGGTTCCCAAGGCCAGTGAATCACCATAGGAAGAAACACACACACACACACACACGCACGCACGCACGCACGCACGCACGCACGCACACACACACACACACAATTTCCAAAATAGTTAAGTTGCTTCTAGGATGTTTTGACTTTGTCTAGTTTGATGACCCTAGATGTAAATAAAAGTGCTGCTAGCCTTATTTCTAGTCAAAAGCTCAGTAGGCCAAAAATGGCTCCCAAGAACAAATACAAATACAAGATGTTTTATTTGTATTTAAGATCATTAAAGAGCCACTTTCTAGCAGCAGGGAACAGGCGGAGAGTGGAAACCATCAGAAACATCATGATGTGTTTTACAAGCCAAGATCCCTCTGATCTTTAATACACTCACCGAGTTCTGATCTCTAACAGCAACGCAGCAGCTTAACAAGTCTGACACCTGTGACATTGTGTGACTAGGTCACAGAATGACTCGTGTGTAGGTAACAGCTGCCTTGTCTCCAACAGCCATGTTAACATTTCAAACACTTACTGTCCAGAACTAAGCTTCATTCATGTTTCTGGCTTTTGGATCCCAGGCAGATTTAGTCCTTGTGTTCATGCCAGCATTGATGTTTATCTTGTTTAGACATCAGGCAATGATAAAGACAGATACACAATAAAACAAAGACTAAAACAGACATGTGGAAGAAGCATCATTAATGTCAGATGAGTTTAACAGTTGAGAAAAGATCGACCTTAAACCAACTCAGTTAGACGACAGTTCTTGTTCATTTTGTAAACATAGGTAGATTTATTACAATAAAAACCTTTTCAAAACCTAATTTAAATAAAGTAAACCTATGAATACACACTTCACTGGTGACAGCCAACATGCTACGTGATGATTAACCAATAAAAGGCAGCAGTTTATTAAGATAACTGTGTATGACAGTTTCAAGGCAACAATTATTTGACTGGGTTTAACCCAACCTATAATGGAGCACTGTAAGCGATCTGCAGTACACGAGTCCTGCTACAAGCAGCAGCTTTGTCTGGTAATTCTGGCTCCTTCCCTTTGTTTCCTGACACTGTTTGGTCCTTCAGTCCTTCCTTTTCCTTTTACCCCATTAACTGTGTCTCTCTACACTTGCCCTTTCCTCTTGTACAGTTAACCCAGCCTTCGAACTGTGTTCTTGCTCTGCGTGTTAAACTTATGCAACGGGTTTCCAGCTCTTGGTGCTTTGAGAGAAAGCACGGGCATTTCTGAACATTCTTCTAGCCTCTGTGTACCCCAGTCATTAGTGTATCTATTTACTATTCTGTGGCTGCTGGCCTCCCCAGGCAGTTTGAGGTACTCCGTCATGTCAGGAGCACCTGCTAAACAGCAGCTCTACTCTGCAGCCAAGCCGTTTTGATCTGATGTTTCACCCTCAGTCATTTCAAATCTAGGTCAGCTCTATTATTAATTGACATTTCACAACTCCTTTAGTTTTCCCACTGCTTCTCACTGAGATCCAGCTCAGCTTTAGAGCAGATCCCCCCTCTACCCCCCTGCTTGCGGCACGTCACTCCAGATCAACCAAATTTAAAATGATTTTTTTTTGTTTTTGTGAAAATATTAAAACCATAAATCACATTCCTAAGAATATACAACTAAGGCTGCAGCTATTAAATATTCTATTGAATCCTCTGTCGATTATTCAAATATTCTATTTGACGCCGTTTCAAGTGAAACCAGACTGATCTGCTGCTAAAAATATGAAAATAAAACAACAAAATTCTAAACGGTTCAATAATGTGTATTACATTGGTGTTGTCTAGTTCCCTCTTTCTCATCTGATATTTATAGTTAATTATTATTTTATGGAAAATTTTGACCTACATTTCAGTATTTTAGGTTTGTATTAATATCACTAATACTAGTCAATATAACATATCTAAATGTATCCACATTTGATCAGTAGAATTTAGTTATTTCATTACCAGGAAATGCTAATAACGTTTAATTTCTACTGGCAACAATGTCATTGCGGCATATCTATTTTACTATGTATAGGTAGGCAACAAAAACCAGTCTAAATTGTAATAAAAGATAGAAGTGTTTGTGAATTATATGCTACAACGGCTTGCCATACCCTGCTGTGTGTGGACTCGTAGCAACAACCGGACTCCAGGTAGCGTTCAGGCTGTGATGCGCACATCTAATGAAGCTTTGAATCATTAAATAACGATATAAGGAATTTATTGCATCGAACCTTCGATGATTCTTTTCAGCCATAATTACAATCTTATAATTTCTTAAAAGTAAAGGCTCAATGTCGATACTAAAGCTCCTAACCAAGTGGGCCGAGGCATTTCCTTCATGACCATTTTAACACACTTTACACTAACTCAGACTACATAAATGATGTATTTAACCATAAGCCTTTCTGACCTTTGACATATCCTCAGCCCCGCCCAGAGGTAATGGCTGCCGATGAGACGAAGTCCTCACCAGAGACTCTGGTCCCATGTCCAAACGAGGACGCTTGATCTCTGCATAGTCCACCTCTGATTGGCTGGGGGGCTCTGGCAAGTAGATGTGCTCAAAGCGGATGTGCTGATCTTGTCCCCTGAAAATAAAACAAAAAATAAAAATGATCAAAAACAATATAGATCTGTTTATAGTAAATGGGGAGCATTTAGAAATACATGTAGCAGTCTTTTGTAAAGGTATAGCACAGTTTTAAAAGTCCACGTTGGTGCAGTTTAAATGTCTCTTCATGTTTTGATGTGGTTGTATAAAACTCGAGCTCCTCCTCTACCTGCTGCTGTGAGCCAACACACAGACAATGGCCCAGAATTCCCCTAAACTTCTGTCTCTGTTACATAAAGAAACTAAAGTCTGCTTCACTTTTGTTGTTCAAACAGCCGTGGCTCGACTACCAAAGGAGCAACACACGTCTCTTTTTAAGGTCCCTCAGCTATTACACATTTTTAACAAGCTACAAGAGCATCTGCGCAGCTTGTGATGACCAAAAACATTTGCTCAAAACTACTTTCTGTCCTTAAAAAGTATGATTGTAATGGATTTTAGTTCAAGCACTTTCTTTTAATAAACTGAAGACCTTTCAAAATTCTGAAAAAATACCATCTAAACTACCTTAAAAAAAATGGTTAACCAACAAATGTCCATCAGCCTTCGGTTTCTGTTGATGCATCACAACAGACACACACCATTTCGTTAACAATAAAGACTAATGAAACAGAGATGACTGCATGCGTTGTTAGTATCTACGCTGTCTGCCTTCAGTGGTGGAGTTATTGTGGCTTACTGAGGCATAGATCACACATCCATGTTGTCTTTGCGGTCTGTTCAAGTGAATTTTTATTTTTGCCCCCGATACAAACAACTAGTAGACACAGCAGAGGGTTTATGCTACTGGGGGTTCTTGACATCAGTCTGGTTTGTCATGGCCTTAAAAAAATCTGGCAGGAGGGGATTCTCCATAACGTAATGGGATTTAGTCATGATCAGCTGTGTGTACACATCCGCTTCGTTTTCCTCATTTTAAAATATACACTATAGCTACTAATAAGAAGTCTTAGCACCTAATCAGTCGACAGATTAACATTAACTGCATCCAAACTTTAGATGTGGATCATTTCATTAGCCCATCAGTTAATGGTCTCACCCTTGATATTTAAGAGAATGATCTTTTCCACATCTAGTCAGAGACGGATGCCAGAGTGATTTTGCTGCCAGTGGATTTTGAAAAGACAGAAAACACAACCATAATTACTGGTTTAGACCCACAATTACAGCACATTTGGTTTCTCTGTAGGAAAAAAATACATGGAGCCCATCTTAGTCAAAAGTACAACAATTCGTCAGAATTTTACAGTAAATTAATCACAAAACAGTCTGTTTAATCGTGTGTGTGTGTGTGTGTGTGTGTGTGTGTGTGTGTGTGTGTGTGTGTGTGTGTGTGTGTGTGTGTGTGTGTGTGAACTGCTTGTTCTTGCTCTCTCACACTAAAACTATTAAGAATTTTGTGTTTTCCTCACATTTGGCTTGTATTTCAATTAAAATATCTTCAGCTTTATTATTTTATGAGAATATCTGTGTTGTGTTGTTGGAAAAATAATCATAACAAAACATAATTACTTGAAACGTTTTGAACATGAAATGTTCTTTAAATTGCATTCCATACATTTTAGAAACATTTGATCATTTATGACAAATTTGCTTAAAACTATGACGTGGACAGCCACTTTCCTAGTTTCTGGCTAATCACCCTGCTTCCACGTCTCAGGATGTCAGCACAAAGCATCCAGGTGCTTCAGGCATCAGCTGCTGCTCAAAGACAAGGTGTGTGATTTAGAGATTAAATGAAGATAAACTGAGTAATACCCAGATACCCTAACCAAGACAGAAATATTTAGCTGCTAGAGGCAGGTTTGTTTGTTTTTCTTCCTTTTCTTCCTCCGTGCTTTACTGCAAGGCAGCACGAGACGAAAATGTTTGCATGTCAGCTTTTTTTAAAACCCCATGCATGTTTTTAATTTTAAGTTATATGTAAGGGTGTAACAGTACGCTAAAACCATATTCGGTTCGGTTCAGTGTTTTGAAGGGCTTGGTTTGATTAATTTTTGGTAAATTATTATTATTATATTTATTTATTTAATAATATCTGAAGTGGTTCCTATAGTGAGCAGAACCAGGTGTCATCACAGGCTGCTGATCTAGCATGATGTCTTTAATTATTTCTCTACAGGCTCCACAGCAGCAGCGACAGCCAGCTGGTTTGAGCCGCTCTGAAAGGCCTTCATCAGAATTTGCAGATAACATTTTTAAATGGAGATCGGGCGTGTGCAGCCATCATGCATCACTCAATACAGCGTCCGTGTGGATACTCGCCTAGGAATGTTTATTCGCTGTACTTAAGTCACGCAAATAAAAATTCATTATTTAATGGAAAAAATAAACCGAAACGTATGCAATTGGACCGAACCGAACAGGCCAAACGGTTTACTTTCTTTAATGAGTCTGCCAGAAATATAAAAGCAAGCCAACAACCAAACTTCCTCTAATGCTAGAGGCATACTAGCATAAAACATGTAGCAAGTGTTTCCTACCATGAAGCACCCAAGAGTGCTAACACCATATATAACAATGTATTTATCTAATCAAATTACTGTGTGACTCGCCTTTGCTTGTTATCTAAACTCTTCTGGTGCTGATCCATAACTGGCCACTGCCATGAAACTCACAGAACAAAAGTAAGAGTGACTTTTTGTTTAGAGAAACACACTGCAGTACCCAAATATGAATACAGGAGGTCAATCTTACTTCCTTCTTGCACCTTTAAGTAAAATGGTGAGGTGGTGGTTTAATAGTGTTTCACACCTGCAGAGTTTAGTCTGCTTAAATCAAACCCTGGTTTATTCTCCCTGTAGTTTGCTGGGCTGTGATCGCTGTGTAGGCAACTCCGGTCCCAGAGAGCCACTATCCTGCATGTGTTAAGAGGTTCAACACACCTGATGTTAATAAACACATGACTAACGGGCTTCTGCAGAGATTGATGAGCTGCTGAATAGGTGAATCGACTGTGATGAAGCAGGGAAACAACTAAAACATGCTGGATAGAGGTTCTCAAGCACCAGGTTTGCCTACCCCTGCATTAGGTCGAGGAACGACAGAAGTGTGCTTCTCAGCAAGGTTCCAAACAAACTCGGTCCATTTCTTCAAAACCCAGATTGTAAATGAGATTAATACCCCTCAGACAACCAAGACCACCCAGCATTTAGACAAGACTAGCATCTGTTTATTCTAAGAAAGCTCATCTAAAATGGTGATGGGAGTTTTGAGGAAAGAAACAGATCATGTGTTTGTGGGTTTCATTAAGAAGCAGCTGAAACGTTAAATTAAATTAAAGCAGAGTTCAGTTATTACGCCCATAGTGTGACTACTCCCCCAATGCAATTTTCTCACTCATTCAGAGGAATACTTCCTCATCCCCATTGAGGGCTGGCACTTGCATAATCACATCATCAAGCTGCCAGCCCCCCCTCACCCCTCTCTGCCTCCAGGGAGTGTGCAGAATAATCTGGCCCCTGGAGAGGTTTTGTCTAGAGGATGAGACAAAGACGTGTTTAGTAGCGGGGGCAAAGATTGTAAATGAAGAGTCGGGGGTGGGGGCACAGAAATCCTCATAACTTCCCCTAACAGCTCCACTACGTTCTTACTGGCTTGGGCCCATTATTACGGGAACACAGATGACGTGTGCAGAGAGCTGCCTGTTATTGTGAAAGCACCACAGAGTGAGTCAGTGAGTCAGTGAGTCAGTGAGTGAGTGAGTGAGTGAGTGAGTGAGTGAGTGAGTGAGTGAGTGAGTGAGTGAGTGAGTGAGTGAGTGAGTGCGTGCGTGTGTGCGTGCGTGCGTGTGTGTGAAAAGCGGGAACAACATATGAAGCCTGGTTTAAAACACATCACCACAGAAATCTGAAATAAGGGTCAAGTTTGTATCCATAGATTGTACAAACAAAATACAGAGATGCCATTTTTTTCCCAACAGGTATGTTTATCTGATTTAAGGAGCTGAAAAATACACAAATGCATTTCCTCCAGTTGCACCAGAAAAATGTTAAGTAGCTTTTCTTCCTTCTTGTGCTCGACATAACGTGAAACACTCTCCTTTTCTTCTGAAACTGGGCTGATTTCAGATGAATGTGAAGAGGACTGAACATAGCAGGAGGATGAAACAAATGAGAAGAGCGGTAGTGATTACTCTGTTATGGGGTTCTGAGCTGTAATTAGGGTATATTTATAGCATTAGTAGAAAAGCATAATTCTAGTTTGCCTGTGTAGAGACAAAAAGTACATGGAGACCAGCATTGCTAAGAAACTGATAACATTATCCTGGAAGAAATGTGCAGTTTTGTGGAAACAATCCTGAGACTGCTGCAAAAGGAGTGACTGATGAGAAGACAAGAACATATCGAAGAAGAGAATAGGCTGAAAGAGTGCCAGGGCCAGACTTACACTATTCAGACTTTGAATGAAAATGCAGAATGTGGCCTTCAGTTTGGATCCTATCCTCTAAAGCAATTGTGAAGGCCTGATATATTCAACTGAAAGACTCCCCACCCCCTCCGACGACTAGCAAGATCAGGGCTTTTATTCGGTCTTCACAAAGAAATATGGGTTAACTGCAGTCTTCATCTGTGATATGATGGCTGTCTCTTATCTACACAAAAACAAATTCACATTACTGCTGGAAAAGTTTAGAGAGGGCATCTGTCCTGCAGATGAACGGTGTGTCATCTCTGACAGGCTGCCAAAGCACAAGCGATTGAATGAAGCGTGTCAGTAAATAAGGAGCTGGTGGGTAGCATTTGAAATATGGTGTGTTTATTTGTGTATCAGGTCATGACCCAGTGGTTACACGCTGTGGACTAGGCTAACGACCATTAAACACGGCTAAAGCAGACCCTTGTGTTTTAGAAAGCAGACAATAATCCTTTCTGACTGATGTCCAAAGACATGCAACATTCCCACACTGCTGCAGAGTCACTCCACCATCTGCTGTCAGCTGTTCTACCTCCAGAACATCTCACAATGGCCACGTTT